TCAAACTAGTAGATCGGGGGTATTCACATTGTCGGAACATAAGAATTTAGCTAAGGTAAGAATGGATGACCCCACGATGATAATTCATATAGAAAAAAGCTCAGCGATTGAACTGCGTGCATTAACACACAATCACACAATAGGGTGGGAGAGGGTTAAAATTCTAAGAAGTAATATAGGTAGGTGGAGATAGAGAGAGAGATTGATTACTGAATCCTGGTTCATCGAGTCTACACTCAACACATGCAACAGAAATGACTCAATGCAAATACCAGAAATATGGAAAATATTATTACCGCCAGTCAGTCAAATCAGAGGAGGATAATAAATAATCTTAAAATTCTATTGCAATTCACATACATCATAACATTCTAACAAGTTACTTATTTTGACTATAAAAACATCCGTTTTATTTCCCATCTGATTGTATTTGATTGATAACACTCACATTATTTCTGAATACACTTTATCTTATATTAATTTTACTGAAATGTGTAATCAATTTTTACTCATGTATATAAATGAAGCAAGAAAGTTGTGTGAGTGACTTGATATGATTATGAGCAGTAATAATTTGTGCTCGAAACGTCATCAGTTAATATTACTGTATAACACTGTGTGGTTGATCAAAATAAAATCTTATCTAAAATGGAGTTATACTCTACCATAGTGCCCAAGTTTTATACTTATAACATTAAAATATAGTTCTCTTCAAAGATCAATCTACAAGAAACTAACACGAAATGGTCAGTACATGAATTTTTAATAGTTGAGTCCCTTTGAGAAGAAAGAGAAATCTGATCTCCTCCTTATCCTCAAGAATAAGAAGGATATGTATCAATGATACAATTGATGGTGAACTGGCGAGACTCAAACGAGTCCTCGTGGAAAATGTATATCCTTCAAGATTCATCGAGAAAAACACGAAAGTAAAGCAAAAACCTGAAAGAACCCAGAAGGTGCCGAAGAAACTGCTATTCATGAACGTCGAATTTAAAGGTGATACGGCAGCTGATCAGATCACTGAGAAAAGCCGGTTTTTAGGCTGAGCTAAGGATTAATTTCTACGGTTGACAAATGATCAGTGGATATGTGAAGCACAAACTGCAGCTTTCGGCCACTTCAATGTGTGTTTATAAATTCACATGCTCCTGAGGAGCTAGTTACATTGGCCGCACAAAGCACACACTTTCCAAACGCATATCTGAGCATTGTCCAGCATGGTTAGCAAAAGGAAAATGCAAGACTGTTACTGGCTCAGTTCTCGAGCAGTTGGTGAACTCAGGTCACGCAGTTCCACTAGAGTCGTTTTTCAAGATTATCTACAACGTGAGGCTGAATTGTACAACAAGGCGTAAGGTTTTGGCATTTGTGTGTGGCGGAGGCATTGGTAATTCGTCAATACAACCCCGATATCTGTATACGGAAAAAGTTTGTCCAGTCTCTTATTCTACCTTGGTCTTAACCTCTTCTTTAGTCGTTCCCTGTAAAATTTTTATTTTCAATGATTACTTTGCTTTTACTTTTATAATTAATTCACTATTATCACTTTCACATGTTCCTTTTGTACGTTTTTTTCACCCTCTTTAAATGAACACTCAACTAGCTTTCTTCTCACTCAGTAATAATTTTAACCTTTTCAGATTTCTGAAGCTTTCATCCTTTATGCCGTTGAGTATTGTCAGTGCACTTTCTCAGGGTGTTCACCACGACCGGCACTGCTGTCTGTCTGCTGTAGTGCTGCTGCTGTGCGTCGGTGGCACAGTGGTTAGGACTCTCGCCGACCATGCACATGGTACGGGGTTCGATCCCCTGCCGGCGCACACCTGATATCTATGGTTGGCCTGAAATTTGGGCTACCGATATCCATGCTGAAAATTTCATACTTGTACTGAAAATACGGTGTGGAATCAAGCTGTAATCAAAATAAAATAAAAATAAATATTATGTAACTTATAACTTTCATTTTTACTTTAGAAGTCACTTCTAAGTATCGATTATATCACCCGTATTACTCAATTATGGACTACTATACATTTTGGGTAAATATAAATACGACAGCGCAACCTATGAACATGATTTCGTCGATAAAGAAAATTTTCTTCACTGAACTGTCTTTTATATTTTTAATGATTCAATGGGTATTTTTGGTGATTTAGAATATAGTTATAGAATAATGTCATCAATATGTGGGTATTTGTACAAGATATATATTCAAGGCAGTATTCGTTAATATTCAAGTATTGGTTTGTAGGGATTTGATTGATTGGTCACAGGATTTCATCATGAGCTGACATCACTTAGAAAACTATTGGAAAAGCTGCAGGGAGTACTGAACAGACAGTTGTTTCGTCAGCCTAGTTTGAGGCTCTTCACTGTATGCACCCATGGCCAGGGTTTGAACCCAGGACCTCCTGGTTACAAGGTTAGCGAGCTTGTATATCGTTTAGCCACTAGGATTCCATCCAACGGCATATGAATCCCTTTATTTTTATTACTATCATTTTAAGAATAAATAAGGTGTGCTGAAGCATGGTCGTCAGTTATTTTATCCAAAAAGAAAAATCATCTACAGATCATCAGAGATGCAGAGTTGTTCATGATAGTGAGCTTGAAAAGACTGCGTTTCGCAAAAGTCAAACAGAAGTATATCTACTGGAGCGTCGTAAGCATTACATCTGACAGTCAAACTAACACCAGGATGGCGTCAGTGGTGGTCTAGGCTAACTTGTATTGTTGTTCTAAGCTTCGATACATGATTGAAACCCCCATCCACCAAACTTTTGCTTTTATTCACCAAACCATCTAAATTTGTAAACTATCCGACTAATCTTAACAATCTATATACAAGATTACATGTAGGTACAAATGCCTATTAGGATTAACCTTGTATAGGAAAATAGATTTAGAAATAATTTTAATTTTTTTTTGGTTTTTGATTATAGCTTGATTCCACACCGTATTTTCAGTACAAGTATGAAATTTTCAGCATGGATATCGGTAGCCCAAATTTTGGAGGCCGACCATAGATATCGGGTGTGTGTCGGCAGGGGATCGAACCCCGGAGCATGTGCATGGTCGGCGAGAGTCCTAACCACTGTGCCACCGACGCAGAAGTATTAAAATATACTGTATTACAATGGAATTATTCAAATAATGGTATGCCAGTTCAAAAGGTGATGCAAAGAGGTGTCTATCGAATAATGTTCATAGCTAATTAAGACTTAATTAATTAATTAATTAAATAACTAAAATTTCATCATATGTACTAAAAATGTAGAATAGACTACCACTTGAAGACTATTATATAAACATAATTTGGTCAGATAAATTCAGACACTGAGGACATCTAGCTCATCTGGTGCCAAACTTATCAGTAATTTTACTGACCTCAGGGACCCAAATTAGTATAAACCACTCAAATTCTAACTAGATATTTGGAACAAGTGACTGTGCATAGGACAAAATCTCTCATTTCCAAATCACATATTTCGGGGTGAAAATTCATCACGATCACCTATAGAAACTCAAAATATTCAAATCGTCAATAATGATATTATAAAAGTGGGTAAAATTACAGGAGAACATATAGATGGCTGAATGATATGATTAATTAAAACCAATCACATCAACTGGTGGTGTAACAACAGAAGACAAGGGCCAGGCAACAGATCAGTTTTATTACGAAAACCAACAGGTATTTATATGTATTTTACGTACATTAATAAGGCTCTGCCCGCAGAAAGAAGGCGGTCTTCTGATTGGTTGTTTGCAAACAAACGCAGTCTTCTGCTTTCTCGTTTTCGATATTTCTCGAAAATGCGAGCCACTTGTCTGCGAATCATATTTGTCCACGTCTAGGTCAGCTGTGATCGGTTGTTGAATCAGCCTAGATTAATTTCCACCAATCAGCGTAGATCAATGTCTACCAATTGGCTAGCAGCTTGCTCTCACCACAGTGGCACTTGATAGCCAGACGAACTCATCCCATATGCTACAAGTTTGCACAGATAGTTAACTAGCATCCGGTTGGTTTGAACTGATTCGACTCTTTGATCCCATTAAATTTGTATGCATAGCTTTAAATCAATCATTGTTATCAGGTCATGCCTTGCAGTGATTCATCACAGAGCGCTTCGGTTATATATATATATATATATATATATAATATACTTCTCTAAATGAAGTCAGATAGTGATAAAATTTGAAATCCATCAAATCCCTGCAAACCAACACTTGAAAACTAATCTAGCACCTATTGGTGACTGATTACATGATGTTACCTCAAGTTAGAGCGAGAATAGGGGGATACATCAAGTTGGGTGCATGGCCGAATACTCGTCGATTAAATTGGCTGGTGGTGACGCTAAGAAAAATTGGGAATTGACAGAAGTTATTACTGATGGCTCACTGGATTCCAACTAATGGCTGAATGGCTAATAAACTCCGCTTGTAACCTAAAGACCTTGACTTCACACTCTGGTACACTCATGGGTGCGTGCTATCGATAAGTCTCAAACAAGTGCGAAACAGCGTTCAGTAATCCCTGAGGTTTTTTAATAGTTCCCCAAATGAAGTTGAGATCAAATTTGAAATCGATATGAAATTGCCTTAAATACGTCAGTTAACTAGAATGAAAAAAATCATTCTTTACTCAAAATCCTCTCAGTTTTAGGGTGTACTTGATAGTTAAGGTTGAAGTATGACATATACCGATTTTCTGTTTATTCAAAGATTTATTATTTTTGGGGATTCTTTTATATTCTCTTCCCTTGATATTATTAATCGATTCATAGCCAGCCTAGGGGTGGATTTCCTGTATCATTTTAAACAAACATAACTCTGTTTATCTTACCTGCATAAATCGGTTACATTTTGACTGAATGATTAATAAATGGCTTAATACTCTCTCTCTCTCTCTCTCTCTCATCTGTATGATTAATGCTGAGATGTCAAAATTGAAAGAGAGAGAGAAAAAAATCAATAAATGAGATACATGTATGCGTATTATGGATATGTATTATGTGCATGCGTCTATACATATAAAGATGACGCGAAAAAATTATTTTCACAGATAATAGACAATGAAAACAGAAATAATAAAACATGAATGTGAAATGATGATGAAAGGAGTTCGAATTATCAAGAAAGTGAGTGAGGCTAAAGGATGGCAATACAACTGATTCATTCAAATAATGAAATATACAAAAATAATGAACCTGCAATAATATATGTTACTGATAATGGACCTGATGAAAGAAAGTAAATGTCAGTAACCTTAATGTAATTCGTTGATAAAAAAAACAACAACACATCAATTAAAGCAATAGGAATAAGAGTATTATCACACTTTGGTATTATACAATATCTATTGGAATGAAGGAAAGAATCGAATGATACATGGGAATTATATGTGTACAAGAAATACATCTTATAATGTAAATGTATAGTAGTCAATAAGAAGCACACATATATGTATAAACTAACACAGATTGAGTACAGGTGAACTGTAATGTACAAAGCAGTAAGGCAAATAAAGAAATATAAGAAGCATAACAAGCAATGATATTCTTAGAAATGAATCACAATTTTACTCTATAATTTGTACTCTAATCTAAATGGATAAAGGCGACATTGACACTCTCAAATGTTGTCTATGTACATGCTTTTCCCAATGGCATGTATATTATGTATGAATACATTTCATTTAAAATGTAACCAGTTTATAGAAGAAGAAGAAGAGGGAGAGTTATCACATCAGTTATTCTTTTTCTTAATAATTAATATAAGGAAATTTAACACAAAAGAAAATGACATGAAAAAATATGATGCAGAGTACTATTTTATTCACATATGGATTCACATACACATACACACGAGTGAAGAAATGCAGTATTAATAGTAATAATATAAATGGGATATAATTGATCTGATCAGGAGTAACTACTACTCCTTATCGTTGCTTATTGCTTCTCTCTCTTTTGTCATTGTTATTGTCTTCTTTGTCATTATATTGCTCGCATAAATAATAGAAAACAAATCACATAACTTCATTGAAATATAAGGGATCCTGAAACATTTTTGAATTTTCAAGCTGAAAAAAACAAAAGACGAAAGAAATTTTTGAAAGAATTGAGTCAACATTGATGAGTGAAAGTAGCTGGTATAAACAGATCCACATACAGATGCACACACATTGATTGCACTTGCCAGGATATAACATAAATATAGCTATATGTCGATAACAAGATATAGTAGCAGAACACGGAAGGTCTGTGCAAATGATGATTTGAAGATAAGGTGTACATAATTTCGCTACATAGAGATACCGCATTCCAAATATACATTTCTCTATCAAGTCTCTTGTCTTCTAAAGTTACAATTGGTGTCGCTAGCTCCGGACAATGAAGATTCCATGACCGGCTGCTTTCGAAGAAGGAGACATCAGTAGCTTGTCACCGAACCTTGAGGCCATCGCTGAGCTCGTGGGCGTCAAGAATCCGATGGCGAAGGCAGTTGTACTGGGAAGTCGAGCAAAGGCGGTGTATGACAGTTTGGAGCAGTCACGCGAGAAAGAAACCTGGAAGGTATTAGTTGAACGACTGGTGGCAAAGTTCGACAGTCTGACTGACATGCGGCTGGCGATGTAACATTTCCGTGCTGCGAAGCTGGGACCGTGTGGAGACCCATTAGTGTTGGTGGTGAAGCTAACGAATCTACTACGTCGCTCACTCCCTACATCGGATGAAGAGTTGGAGTCACAGTTATCGACGTCCCAGTTCATCGAGAGTGTGTCAGAACACATTTCTCAGCAACTACAACTGGTTAACGCTACGCAATTCATGGGCATCGGTGAGCTAGCAAAAGTAACCAAACAGCTGTTGAGCACAACACGTCAGCCGCAATAGAGTCACCAAAATTGAATGAATGGGAACAGAAAGTTGAAGATTCGCAGCGTGAATTAGAGGCACTACGAATGACTTCCGGAAAAGACCGATGCTTTGAGTATAGCAAAGCGGGACACTGGAGGAGGTTATGTCCCGAAAAAAGGAGAAGGAAAAAATTCGGACAGTATAATGTGTGTTCTTTCTCTCATATAAGACTAGAAGTAGTGGGGGCTATCAAGAGGGGGGGTAAGCATTCTAGGTTGAGAGTGAATGGCCAAGAAGTAGTATGTCTAATAGATACAGGGGTGGCAAATTCACTGATAGATAAGCATCTACGTCAGAGTGTCCGAACGCGTTTATTGACAGTTCAAACGGTAGACGGATATGTGTTAAACATCACGGGCATGTCACACTGTAGCGCTCTTATTGGCAATCGCAAAGTAACGTTTCCGTTCATTATCGTGCTACTTCTGCCCTCCGTATTGTGTTTCTATGTCTTATTTTCATCTCTCCCATGTTTTACTGCAACGCTGAATCATTTGCTCTCTTTGATGTCAAATTTACCTCTTTGCTATTTGATATTTTTACACCGACGAACGTCTCTTTATATACTACTGATAAATCTTATAAATAGCACATGTCACAATATGAATCAAACAATATCATTAGAAAATAACGAATTTATAATAAGCCTTTTCATTATAAGGTAAACATGTTAGCTAAAAACAACATAAGCAAAGGAGCACATATGAATTGCACTATATAAATCAAAATAAATGAAAATAAGTACCGTGTGATGTGCACGCTATTGATAAAATTACAAACTTTCACAGCAAAACAAGGTGTAATAAGATAAACCATTTTTCAGGGATACTAAAATACCAATGAATTCAATCTCAATCATGAAACACAGTTCAGAATACACGCACACTGTTCTCAATCTTATCACGGTTCTTGGCTTTCTTTCCAACTATAAAAATCAATATTCTTTTCCAAACCAAACACTACTGAAGTTTAAGGAAGACCATCTGTCTTTTGAGTTCCGAATAAATTACCAAAGGCCACTTTTCTAGATACCAAACACTCCAGACAGCAAAAGGCATTGCAATTCGATTGAAACAATCAGAGCTCCGAGTGCAAAAACAAATAGCTTCCATCCACCTATTGCTAACCTGGCCTTGCTGAGTTACCTATGAATTCATAAACTTTGTATTACCTCCGTTTATTTATCTTATATACACAGTTAAGTGTTTGTTATATTGATACATATTATCACGTCAGCCCCAAAGGAGTTGATCTCTGACGAAATCTCAGCACGGATAGAGAAAGCTTGTTTGGCATACGCCAACTTATGCCATCTCTGGCTTAGTAGACGTGATATCCGGCTGGCTGTTAACCGAAAGGAGTATGTACTCCTCAACAGTCCTCTCCGTCCTCCTTTATGGCTGTGAGACCTGGCCATTGAGATACGAAAAGCCTGGCTAGTTGTCTTTGATCATGGGTGCCTGCTTTCTATCTCCCGTGTAAAGTGGTATAATAGAGTGAGCAATATTGAGGTAAGGCATAGGTCGAGTGCCAGGTAAAGAGGGGAAATCGATAGACGAGGTTGTGAAGTTACATCGATTGAGAGAGATGGTTAAGACATGCGTTACGCATGGCTGCCTAGCCACCGCCTTCCTCGACAGTGCTAGCTGAAATAGGTCCAATCAAGTTGGAGAAGAGCTAGTAGTGGTCAAACCAAAACATGGCCTCATCAGTCAATGAAATCCACAACAGTTAGTCTCAGCCACGTAGGAAGGTGAAGAATTCCCGGTTGGAGTCCTCGGGACAGTAAAAACCAATGGTTGGAGAAAATCGGTGATATGGCTCAAAATCTTTGTTGTCAATGGCTGGTGCATATGCATTCACTCCTAGTGACTTATGATTTCCAGTTAAACTGCTTTGTTCTTCGTTATTACTATACCTTTGTCTCACACCTCTGTTTACTGTCTCTAATATGCATTTCTCCTACTTTCTTCTCTTGCTTTGTGTGCTACATGGAGTGTAGTGACTTGAACTGCTGCACATCGGTGCAAAGTTCTATGTCGAAAACAGAAAGACAGACAGACATATTATCACTTATAGATGCTCTTAAACTGTATTCTATTCAATGTAATTTAAAACTTGAATGTTTTTATTGACAATAATTCATTGATTATATTATTATTATTATGGATCAATATAACTGTAGAATCTGAGGTGAAGAAGAATATTATTTGTCCACCAATCAGTGTCTTTTAAAAATTTTTAATGCACATCTTTAATCAAGAAAAATAAAAAACACTCATTAAAAGATTTCAAATTTTAACAGATAGAAACAAATAAGTTGTGATCAAAAAAATAAGGAAGAAGTATAAACAGATACTTAAACAGCGAAGAATAGACCTAAGAAACCATTGGTAAAATAAATAGTTATATATACTAAGCAACTTAAATGCATAAACGCTGATGAGGCGATCATACAATTTTCCAATAATAAAGTGATGTTGTTAATGCTCTTAAGCTTTGGAAATTCTGAATTCCAGCTCACCTTTCTCTCTCTTCTTACAATGATGAGCATTTATTAAAAGTTATGCATTAGAAGGAAAACATTGATCAGACCTTCTACATATTTGTGCCTACATTTGTGTACACAACTACTAGGTTAGAAATGCATAAGCAACACCACAAACACCAAACTATTGTGATAAAAAAGGTAACAATCATAAAATCAAACCAATCACAGTGTTACACACCATAATCATCAGCTGATATATATATTAGCAAGAATATGGAGGACAAAAATACTAAATTTAATAGAAGTGTACGCAAAAAGCAGCATAGCTGAATCCTCAGAAATAAAAAAAATAGCAAAGCACTAATTAGAAATCTAACTATACTTTTAGTCCAATGAAGGTATGATAGCAGTCGACTGCTTCAAAAAAACTTTCAAAACTGATGAAAGCGGAGATCACTAAACCTAAAGAGCTTTAGATTTCATATATTATATAATAGTGACACACGAACATAAGACAACAAAGTTTTCTTTGTTCTTTCTGGGGATCCCAACCAGGAAGCCGAAGTCCCCCTACTTGGCTGGCTTAAACTGACTGTTGTGGATTTCATTGATTAATGAGGCTATGTTTTGGTTTGACCACTACCAGCTCTCTTTCAACCTGTCCCTGTGTCAGCTTACATTGCCTGTCTGTCGAGGAAGGCGGTGGCTAGGCAGCCATGAGTAACACATGTCCTAACCATCTCAATCGGTGGAAATTTTCCCAGTTGGTTTGTTGCCAGAGTTTCTTGTTGTTAATTCTTCCCACCGGCCATTTAATCTTCAGTATGGAGCCAGTGAAGGTGGCAGCTGTTGATAAAAGTCTGTGACTTGTTAGAAATCCTTTCCGTGACGCGCAGTCCAAGTTTCTGACCAGTATAGAAGAACCGACTGACTTCACATTTGTGTTGAATAGAATCCGAATCTTGTTCTTCAAGCTGAGGTGGAGTGCAGAAGATTTCCAAAAACTGGTTTCAGGTTGATGAAGGCGTATCTTGCCTTTCTATTACTATTTATCATCCGTTCGGTTAGCCTATGGTTGAAACAGTGCTTCCTAGATAAGTGGAGGAAGTAACCACTATCAAATCTCTCCCATTGATAAGTGTACATTGTATTTTGTTCTAATATAAGCAATAACTCCAGCAATACCAGCTTGGTTCACTCCATCATCAGCATCACATTATTATGATACAACACATTTAATTCATGAGATGCAATCAGTGTGTAAATCAATAAGTAAGGCTATTCTTCATTATTGCAGTTAGTAAACTAACAAAATAAAGAAACAGCAAACATGAAACGTCCTTAAATAGCTCTCCACATGCATCGGTTAGCAGGATAAAGATGTGATTTTAGTCCAGTTCATTTAGTGAAATGGAAAAATTAGGACAAACAATGAGTTATAAGTTAATGCCTTCAAAAATAGCAAAACACCTCCACAAGATTTTTTTTCTCGATTTGAAATTGACGTGATATTATTATCTTCTCAAATTATACTTAATTCAGTATTTTCACTGAGCTCAATCATATTCGGGAAAACCATGATAAACTTTACTGGATTAACTCAAATCCTAATAGGTATGTATATACGTATCAGGGAAAATTCAAGTTACCGAGAACCGAAACACAAAATACGAATATCGAAACAGGAAACTACTGTAACGGAGAAGTGCTAAACGTTTACATTGTCCTAAATTAGCGGCCAGTGGCATGATGAATCTAGCCTAATTCCAATAAGTTTCAAGGGGCACCATATAATGATTTAGCTTTATGTAGGCTTTCGTGGGTTCCACTATTTAAAATCGTCTCATAAGAACTTTTTCTAACAATTCATTTCAAAGCTAATTACTGATAACGACTGGATTAGTACTCACAAACCTGACGAGTTAAAATACATTCTTGATAAGATTACTTGAGATAACCTTAAATCAGTAAACAATCATTGAATGACCATCAAAAGCGATGCGAAGACATGAACAGGAATAGGATTCAAACTGGAGATATCCTGATCAATAAACTAATGTGTTACTATTGATGGCTATCTGTCAACGCAAGGTTATCTCAGTTTCAACAACAGTTAATAGCTTGCTCTCCTCCCTCAAACTTAATATTATTAGAATTCGCGAAAGAAGACTAATCTGAGCAGCTAGTGAGACATGTTAAATGGACAGTGAACTGGTTAACTACTATGCTCAGTTGCTAGAGTGCTACGGTTAACAATGACATAGCCAGCCCCAGTGGCTTAAAGGTCTACGAGCTTGCTTCACAACCAGGAGGTCCTGGGTTCGAACCCCGGTGGGTGCGTACTGCTGGAGAGTTCCTAACTAAGACCAAACAGCTGTCCACTACTCCCAGGTTTTCCAATGGTTCTCTACCTAATGTCAGCTCATGATGAAATCCCGTAACCAATCAAATCCCTACAAGCCAACACTTGAATCAAATAGCCATTGGTTTAAAATCCCACTGTAAGGTATCTCTTTCATCTCACCTACTAGTGAAAAGAAATATTTCTATGAGGCTTAAGAGTAAATTCATGAAAATAAACTTTGAAGTTGTTCCTGTATCATTAAAATAATATGCAACTGAGAAGCAACTTGTAAAAACTAGAATTAACTGAGACTATATGCCTACTGGGTACAGAGAGAGAAAATAAGACTGTAAATAAACCGAAATACACTCAGAGCGAAAGTGAACAAAAAAAATGGTTTCCAATACTCCGACTTCCGATATACTTTTTTGAAGTTAGGCATTTCAGTTACCAAGACGACTAAATTTGTGCATTTTATGCATGCATATAATATATATATATATATATATGTCTAGTAAGAATTTGCGTTATAAAACGTGTCTTTACCTGTACAGTTAACTTTCTATCTCTATCTATTGCTGCATAAACAAGTCAAAATCTTGACTATAACATGTTGAACATGCCTTTTGTTCATCAAATGAATTGACTATTTGTGAAAGTGAAAGTAGAATGCATCACAGGAAAAAAAGGCAACAAGAGAATCACAAAAGATAAGAATAACAATAATGAGAAATACCAAGGCTGTCTGTAGAGTATTGATCATCATAAATGCCATGAGATGATAGCGATAGAACAAAAACAATTCTTATAACAGATATCTTTAATGTGTAACAAATGGAGTTATGAAATTATTATTACTCTTTATTATAACTGTTTCACCCAATGACTAAATCAATATTTGCACACACTTGGTAGTCATCTCAACTTATTTACTTGAGGATACCACACCAGATGGCAGTCTTCATTCTGATAAGTGAAACGATTGATTTTGCTATGTATCAGCTGGGAAGTGAAGTGGTAGAGCACGTTGACCGCTTCACTTACTTGGGAAGTACCATCAGCCCCAACGGGTTGATCTCCGACGAAATCCCAGTACAGATACAGAGGGCTAGTTCCGCATATGCCAGTTTACGCCATCTCTGGCGTAGACGTGATATCTGACTATCGACCTAAGGGCGTGTGTACCGCTCATCAGTCCGCTCCGTCCTCCTTCAGAGCTGTGAGACGTTGGAAACAATTGGTGACATGGCTCAAAATCATTCTCAATGGCGCAGATGCGTCTACTCCTTGTGACTCATGATTTCCAATTAAAATGTTTTGTTCTTCGTTATTACTATTCCTTTTATCTCATATCCATTTCTACTGTCTCTATTATGCATTTCTCCTACTTTCTTCTCTTCCTTTGTATGCTACATGGAGTGTGGCGACTTGAACTTCCGCGCATATGTGCAAAGTTCTATGTCGAAAACAGACAGACAGACAGACAGCTCAGTCAGTTACATAATAGAACCATGATACATTTGGTATAAATCTCAGAAACAAGAAATTATTAGTCTAGAACTACTGCATAATGCCACCACTCAGTTGTAAAATAAACAAACACACATTCAGGAAACCAAAATTAAATTTCAACTAATCGTTTTAACAACAACAAAAAAGTTTTGCATTTATAACCTGATACCCAAAGAAAGATAATTTGAGTAAAGCAAAACTTATAATAACTGATTATTTATTTTTTGCAGAGGAAATAAAAGTTGATTGTCAGTTGTTTGTAACTAACCTCAGTATAACTTCTATTATCATCATTTCTACTATTATGATCACCATCCAGATCAATAAGTTGGTCACACTTTCAACATAATAAACATTTAAGAAGAAATAAAAAATATGTGAGGTTAGGCCAACTAATTTTATTTTTATTTTTAATAATTATCAATTTCAGTTGGTGAGATGTAGTGAATTTTCAGATCAAGGTAATTTTGTTTTAATGTTTATGCAATGGCCTTGTCGACTGTTTTCTTTTGGATACAAAGCGGATGAACGCAGTAACATACACAAACACGCACCCAAAATGCTAATTTGACTGAAAATGAAATTAGGTGGTGTAATGTACAAAAAAGTAACTCAGTTGACAAAAACCAATGATAACAAGTGAAAAACGCCATATATAAATATATATGTATATATATAGCAACTAAAGTAAGATTGAGTTAGTAAGTTAGACGACGTAACATAATTGACTAAAATGTTCCAACTTAAGTCAGGGTAACAACAGAGGTGATTATACGTAGAGACTAAGTAGAGGTGGGGTAGAGAATAATGCCATTTAAACTAGAACTATAATTGAGCGAATAAGTTGGATGATGTAACATAAATGACTAGAAACTGAGTGTTGGTCAAGTCAGTAACAGTGGTAATGTGGTGTAGAAATTAAATCGGGTGAGGGTAGAGAACAGGGAGGTTGAAGATGCAAAATATTACAATTGAGAAGACAAAATAATACAAATGAAGAGACAGAAAAAAGTAGAATTTACCTGTTGGGTGATAAGATGGACGTAATCTAATCGGTAGGAGTTAGAATTCATGAGCCATTGAATCGGGGTCCCAGTAGCTGAATGGTATACGAGCTTGCCTTGTAACCGGAAGGTCCTGGGTTCGAACCCCAGTGGGTGCGTAGTGCCGATGATTCCCAAACTAGGGTGAAACAGCTGTCAAGTAGTCCCTGTTTGTTTTCAATGGTTCTCAAACTGATATCAATCCGTGATCAACTCGTAAAAACAAAACTAACCCTTACAAACCAAACTATAGACATTTATAGTTCTAATTTAAATGACATTATTCTCTACCCCACCTCTACTTAGTCTCTACCTGTAATTACCTCTGTTGCTACCCTGACCTAAGTTGGAACATTTTAGTCAATCATATTACGTCATCTAACTTACTATATATATATATATATATCGCTTTCATTCCTTTGAGTTCCGAGAGGAACATAGGCCTTCAAGCTTGAGTTTTGATGTTTCAAGAACGGTGGTGTTGTTGCTGTTGTCCTTTTCACGAGGTGGGGTTGCTAGCCTCACGCCCAAACTTCTCTTTTTTTCCTGGATTCCTGTTGGTTAGTAAACTAGGCGAGGTTTAGGAGTTTTTTTGGCCTCTGATTACCTGGTTGAAATTTATTTATACAAAAATATGTCATAACTTTTTCAACAAGAAAAGCCCTCCATCGAATTGACTGAAAAAATAATTTAGAATCTTGCGTAATAAAAATGCACTACCTCACACGAAAGAGAACAGAAACAATAGGCGAATATAGATGTGAGGAACAGAATTTTTTTATTACAGCTTGATTCCACACTGTATGTTTGGTACAGGTGTGGAATTTTAAGCATGTGATATCGGTAGCCCAAATTTTGCAGGCCGACCGCAGATATCAGGTGTGCGTCAGCAGAGGATCGAACCCCGGACCATGTGCATGATCGGTGGGAGTCATAACCGCTGTGCCACCGACGCACAGTAATGGTAATCAAGGAAAGCTTTAAGGACCAGATAGACGACAGAGAATGCAATAAATACTCCTGCATCATTATGGGCAACTTTGAACCACTCTAAAGAAACATACATGGTAAATGCATAGGCATTAAGATGCATTCCCAAATTACAAACTTGTGAACTGTCACCAATAGGATGCTACATACAAGTGAATTGTTCGCTTACATTTTTATTTTTTTAATGTGGACGAGTTAAGTCAAGCACAAAAGATATGAAAGAGATGAGTATGATCTAATATCTAAGATCCATAAGTTTATTAATCTTGTTTCTCTTGTTCGTCCGCTCTTGAACTAACTACCAAAAGGATACAATATCCGTAGATGATAAACTAAATTACTTACGTTTTAATCAGTTGATAAGATAATGAATTTAGTAATTAAGCATAGTTCATACTGTCTGTTTACAACAAAGCTGTTTCATGTTCTACAATTATTCTAGTGATTAAGTATATATATATATATATATATATATATATATATATATATATAGACCTTAGCCACCGTGCTAGTATATAGTTTCACATTAGTTTGTATGTTAGATATATCACACCAGATGACGTTTCCTACACCACTTACTGTTCACATTCATACCATTTCATTGTAAGCTTGACTGATAGAATTCCGTCTGCACCAAAGATAGGACTAGACACATTACGCTGGTTACTGACTAGTGTGAAACCAAAAATATCCAATACAGTCCTACAGGAGGTCAATCACGAGTCTGAATAGCTCAGTGCTAACGTCTCTGACTGCAGCACTGGGTGACACGGGTTCGAATCTCAGAAGGGACATGAGTTCCTTCAAGGTTGCAGATACGCCCTGCTGACTGGTGAGTGCCAACTAGCACGAAACCTAGGTCCAAGGCTTCCTGCCGATTGCCTCCAACCATCTAATACCAACAATTCACAGTGCACCGTAATGGCCAGCCACCTAGCATGGTGGGCACATTGCAAGCTTGCTTGATAGAATTCAGTCAGCAGCGAAGATAGGACTAGACACATTACACTAGTTACTGACTAGTGTGCAATCAAAAATATCATTCCATACAACCTTACTAAATAACTGAAGATAGTGTTAAAATGCTGAATATAATTTTTAAATTACTGTCGAACAATAACCTAAAATTATGTCAGCTACAGAATTTAAATCTAGAGATTATACGGTAGAATGGTGTGGAAAAAAAAGTTGGAATTAAGGTCTATCGATGACAGTTGAACATATCGACCATTTGACTGTCGCGCTCGTTCACAACAAGAACAACTTAGGATATTTATTTTAAATTTATAAATATATCAAGAAAGTGTGAGATAGTTACTTTTTCTACGATGTTAGTTAAAATGTTAGCAAAATATTATTCTCAAACTCAGCAATAAAATATGAGATTTAGTACTGAAAATGGCAACTTATTAGAATTTCTTTCGTGTGTGGTATTAATTGTGTTACAACTTACTGGCACATAGGCGGATAAATTAATTCACTATGACCAGTCAACGACTTCAGTAGTGAAATACGAGAAAACTCATCCGGCCCAGAGACTGTGAGGACTGATAGATTGAATGCTCTTTCTTGATTCAGTAAATGGTGGTGCATGATCGTTCTTAGTTAGTGTAGTGATTCGTTTGGTTATTCCTTATGACGAAAAAGAATTCAACCTGCTAAATAAAAGATTGGTTCTCCGTGTTTGTTCGGAGAGAGTCTTCTATTGCATCTTTATGGAGTAGTGTTGTAACAGCAGATGGCAAGACACGGAAGCGAAGGTATATTTTCAAGTGATCAAGCAGCTATTTATATTATCTATACAGTTTATATTCGTTTACCAATCACTGAGCGTGTGATTCTGGTTTACGCAAAACGACATGAAACAGAATGTTCAAATGCATATATTATTCTGTTGCTAATGCACTATTAAACTGGGGGAATAGTATTCAGACCTTAACACCCACAAATACAATGTTTCTTACTCTGAGAATAATATTCCGTTGGAACCTATTGTCTGTATCACACCACCACAGTGTGATCAAGACCTAGCTGGTGTGGTGCCAACTTTTGCTTCTTAAGGAGACAAGTGGCACATTGAAGTCGTACGAAATTGAACAATAGCAGGTCTGCGATGCTCTATGATGTCTGGGACCACACACGCGCTACAAGCGAGTCAGAGGACCTGGTCCGAAAAGGTTTGGGCAAACTGTTTCCTTACCGTCATGACTGGTATCCGAGCTTGTAACTATACTCCTGTTAAATGCAAGTTATAAGCTTGCACGGATAACATTACTACCCCTTGTACACACCACCTGTCACTACTACTGACTAAATGGATAAGTGAAGCCGCTGGGAATACTTCCCACGTGAAACCTTTATTTCTTTTCAATGAAACTCAGTAACCATAAGCATATTCACTCAATTTGTCACGAATCATACTGTTGGTACAGGTATGAAGATACTTTTTGACGGTTCTTAGCAAATAAACAAACCTTTAAACCCCTTTATTAGAGACAGAAGCTAAGTCACAACTCCTACGATAACTTTGATCAATACACCCCACTTGACTATTAACCAGATATGCTCCAAATAACGCTCGTGTAATGTTGTTATGCTCTAAGAAATACAGCAAAGCCCAAATTAAGACCCAATTTTAAATTAACCTAACTGATTGTTTTATACAGTTGAATAGATGTGCCATATAGCACAATGTAGCTTGAATCCCATCTCATTCGAGCCTACTTCTAAGAAAATTTCCTGGAAAGAAATGAAGTTTTCTATTACAAATTAAATTCAAATCTGTTAAGCAAACCAGTAAATTGTTAAATTCGTTATGGACCAATTTCTTAGTTTCAGTGATAACAATAGCTGTTTTATAAGCTTAGAATAGACTAAACCAGTTAAAACAATCTACTTTTTGTCCAACAGAGAGTCCGGGTAGATAGTCTTAATTTAGAAGCAACTAAATAATAAGGCTTTACATGCAAATAAAACACGGTTGTTAACCTATAATTAAACGAACATATACTCATATCCAATACGCCAACCTATAAATTATTTCAACAAAAAATAATTGGAAATGTAAGGCATATAGAAGCCTACACACAAAACACAAAATAAACAAGCACTCACTTTAACAGGTTGTACTTTAACCGTATGTATATTAAGCGTAGGATTGATTGATGCTTTGTCATGAGAATAAAATACAGTTGTACTATTATCATGTCTAGAATTCTCCAGAGAAGTTCTTTCATTTCCATCATTATCTACAAATGTTTCATTTGTTTGTTCATAAGTTGTCAGCAATTTAGCGCATTTATAACAGCATAATGGTAAAGATTCTGTCAATGGTGGTTTGCTATGCGTAAGCAGTGGTTTTAAATAACTGAAGAAAAAAATATACATAGAAATTTATCAGTATTTACCATTATGATTGCTGTAACAACTACATACGTGACAGTAGTAACGGGCAAAGAGGGAAAATCAATCGAAGAGGCTAAGAAGTTACATAGATTGAGATGGCTAGGTCACGTACTGCGCATGCCTAACCATCGTCTCCCCCTCCCGACGGGCATTACTAGCTGATATAGGTGCAAGTTGGAAAAGAGTAAGTGGTGGCCAAACAAAAACATCGCATCAATCAATCCATGAAATCCTTGACAGTTAAACTGAGTCAGGTAGGGAGATGCAGACTTCCGGGTTGGGGCTAGCCCTCGGGACTCTAAGAATCAATGGCTGGAGACACTAGGTGACATGGCTCAAAATCGTTGTCAATGGCGCAGATGTATTCAGTCTCTTTAACCTTCATATTCCTTTCTACCATTACTCATTCTGTTTCACTCTTATACTTATCTAAATTCTATTGATTCTCTTCTCTCATTTTCCTGTCCACCTTTGTGTGCTATTTGGAACGTGGCAACTCGAACTGCTGCACTTCGGTGCCAAATTCTATGCTGAATCCAGACAGACAGACAGACAGTAATAACAATGTATATACAGATCGCTAATGTGCAATTCGACAATTGTTCAGACTATGAGAGTTAGCCTGAAATCAGTAGAATGTTATTAATATAATGAAAAGTAATGAATGATTTTGAATATAAGGCCTCCAGTTGTGACAAAATAGTTACTTCTGATCTCTAAGCTATCAGTCCGTTGCTCTACAAACCGACTTACAGGATTCCATTGGAAACCCGGGTGGGGGGACAGATAGTTCCAGACCCGTTACAAGACAGGCTTCGATTACGTCTCTTTATTATTAATTGTTAAAATAATTTCTTCAACAGAAAAAGATCCAAAATAACTTTTCAACCAATTTTTTTATTCCTTTACGTTCCCAGGGGAACATAGAGCTTCAAGCTAGAGGCTTGAAGTTTCTGTAGCAGTGGTGATTATTTTTACAGGATGGGTTGCTAGCCTCGTGCCTAACCTTCCCTCTTTGCCAGTCTTATTACCGGCTTAGCGACGTAAAAGAGAGCGTCGACCGGGGGTCGATCCCCGGACCACATGAAGTGTGGTTGACGAGCATTCTACCGCTATGCCACCGACGAAAACAATTATCTTGAAAATAATCCAGCTGGAATCATATTTCAACTACATAAGCTTAGTTAATTGATTTGAATTTCCAATATGGACAAAAACAAATCAATAACATGAAGCGAAGACCATAAACAATTCTACGATAACAGGTAAGCGTCAGGGGCTGACGTGTATATACATCACAATCAAATTACTTCATAAATATAGACGGACGTTATTATTATTATTACAGTTAGCCAGACAATAGCTAATATCACACTGTAGGGTGGATTATTTACAACAGAAACAAGCAAGCTGAATACTGTAAGCGCACAAACTGTAGTATTTTAGCAACCGGAAAGTTCCAAGCAAACCTGAATAAGAGGGAACTAAATAGAATAGATTGAAGAAAAAGAGTCATTTTCCATTGAGAAAGATTGTTACTACATCAAATATCATAAGAAGCGTATTCAAGTCAAACTGGATTGTCTAGCAAAAAAACGATATCACCACCTTATGCATGTCAGAAAGATAAACAAAGGCAAAAAAAGAAGAAAATAGTCACTGCTTACAATTTATCAAAACGTATCCACCGAGAACTACAACAACCACGATTCTCGTATTGGTTTTCGTCTGTATCTGCGTGCATCTGCAAAAAATAAAACGGTGCATACTACCACGTGTCAGGTACAATGATACAGTATTGTGTGCATTATGATCACATAAAAAAGAGAATTTTGTGTTGGATTATAAAATAAAGCTAATTTTCAAGAGTTAGTTTATAAGGATTAGATTTGTTTTTTATGAGTTTGACCACGGATTGATATCAGTTAGAGAACCATTGAAAACAAGCATGGAGTACTGGACAGCTGTTTCATCCTAGTTCTGGACTCATCGGCAGTACGCACCCATCGTGGTCCCAGTGGCTGAATGGTATACGAGCTCGCTGGCCTTGTAACCGGAAGGTCCTGATTTTGAACCCCAGTGGGTGCGTACTGCCGATGAGTCCCGAACTAGGATGAAACAGCTGTCCAGTACTCCCTGCTGGTTTTTAATGGTTCTCTAACTGATATCAATCCGTGGTCAAACTCGTTAAAATAAAGCTAGTTAGCCATATTAGTGCCAATAAGAAGTTGATAATACTAGAACGAATGTTCACACTCAAAGTCATTTTGTTCTACATCAAATAAAACATGCTTTTTTTCTACGTATAAGCACTCGAATTAAGAGTCAAGAAACTTAAATAAGGAAATGAAGCATACAAAAACCCTCTAGAATCTGTCGGTGAATTCATAAGAACACGCAAACGACTTTTAAAAAGGTTTAGGTTAGGATGTCACTATTGAAATGCGATTCCACTAAAGTGTAAGCTTTGTTGCCTTAATTCCACGTTAATTTCTTTGTTTGATACAATAGGTAGGAGTAGATTATTTATCTTACTACATGATATTTTGAACAAAATTTAATGCTTATAATTACATCAAACTTAGAGAACCTTTGATCGAATGGAACTAAATAACTTATTATCCTAAGTTGAACCAACTGACTGGCTGACTGGTTTCAACATAGAACTTTGCACAGATGTGCAGCAATTCGAGTTGCCACACTTCACTCAGCACATAAAGCCAGAGAAGAAGAAGAAGAAAAAAGTAAAAGGAAACACGAAGTAGAAACAGTAAACAGAGATATGAGGCAAAAAGAATAGTAATATCGAAGAACAATATAGTTCTATTGGGTATTGTAAGTCACACGGAGTGGATGCATCTGCGCCATTGAAAATGATTTTGAGCCAAATCATCAATTGTCTACAGCCTTCATTGGTTTTAACCATCCCGACGACCCCCCCCCCCAGCCAGTCAGGAAGTCTACACTTTCCTACATGTCTGGCTTAAACTGACTGTTGTGGATTTTATCGACTGATGAGGCCATGTTTTGGTTTGACCACTACTAGCTCTTCTCCAAATTGATTGGACCTATTTCAGCTAGCACTGCCCGTCGGTCGAGGAAGGCGGTGGCTAGGCAGCCATGCTTAACACATGTCCTAACCATCTCTCTCAATCGATGTAACTTCACAACCTCGTCTATCGATTTCCCCTCTTTACCTAGCACTCGACCTATGCCTTACCTCAATATTGCTCACTCTATTATACCACTTCACACAGGAGATAGAACGCAGGCACCCATGATCAAAGACAACTAGCCAGGCTTTTCGTATTTTCCACTCTCAATGACCATGTCTTGCTCATAGCTATAAAGGAAGACAGAGAGGACTGTTGAGCAGTACACACTCCTTTCGGTTGACAACCAGCCGGATATCACATGTACGCTAGAAATGGCGCAATTTGGCGTAAGCCAAACGAGCTGAGATTTCGTCAGCAGTCAACCCACTGGCACTGGCTGATGCACTTTCACAAATAAGTCATGTGGTCAACACGCTCTACCACTTCACTCCCGCCTGTCTTTAAGCTAGGAGTCGATGTAGTCCAGCCCTGTAGCATCATCTTACATTTGACGGGAGCGAATCGCATGCCAAACATTCGAAGATTGCTGCTCCTCAAGGTGTTACGAATACTCTGCATTTTGTCAACGTCTTCGCCTAGGAGGGAGGACTATATGATCTGCACATTCTAAGGCAACGAGATTATTCCCCGGTAACAAGTCAATCCCTAAGTCTCTGAAATGAGTTAGAGTGGGACCAAACTAAGTTAAATCAAACTACTGTGGTACGTTAAATTGTTAGAATGATAAACATCAATGAAATCAGTAGTCTTGAAAGAAAAGAAAAAAACTTAGATATATTTTCATGTATGCAATAAAATACAGGAATACGATAGATTGGAACAAAGGTAAATTACAAGAGGTTTATTTTAGTCAAAGTTCACTGAACTAACGCTGGATAAGTAAGTGGAACAGGAATCATTCAACAAACTTAAAATATAAAACGAATTAACTGAATTATAATTGCTGAATTACTAACCTCTGCGAATAAATCCACCTATAGTGCTACTAGCTTATTAACTTCAACTCTCCATGGAAAATAAGGTACACTGGAACGATTTGAATTCATTTCATGTATTTTCCTTAACTATGCACAACTTGAATAACCCCTTAAAATTTGTGAAAAAATATACTAGCTTAATTGATTGGACAGAATTGCTCGGTCTCAGGTTGACATGTCGGCTTCTTGTGCAGATGCTTCGACGATGTCTGGGCATTTAATTTGTATTTAATTGGTGGATGGTGACTAGCAGTGGAATCCAGGATGCGCATTTAGTCCTATTTGGGACGTCCCAAGTTCAATTAAATTAATATGACTCGTTGCACAAGAGGTGGCTCTCGTGGCCCAAGTGGTCTAGTGGATAACGCTTTGGCGTTTGAAACTATGGGCACTGGGTTCGAGCCTCGGTGGGAACATCATTACTCACTGAGAAATGCAGGTACATCCAGATGACGAGTCCCAAATGGGACGAAATGCGCATCCTGGATTCCACTGCTAGTCACCATCCACCAATTAAATATACTAGCTGTTTATAAGAATAACATGTACTGTCATGTAGTAAAAAAAGCCAATACTATGTGGACTACAGCTGAAATCAGTTGTATTCATAGTCTTACAATACAATACAAGGTTCAATGTGTACAATTAACATTACACTGTGTATTTAATCCGTGTTCATGATTAAAAAAACTGTATATATATATATATATATATATATATATATATATATATATTTCTACATATATATGATTATTTATGACTGAATGATATCTGCACTCGACACAAAAGTCAACAAGTGAGAGAAAAAAGCCCGAAACCAAAATATACCCTACTACGAATAACGGAATCAATGTTGATCTGATAGAGCAGGCTACTTTCTACAAAAACGAAAAAAACAAACATTTTATACCCCCCTTAGAAAAGATACACTTCACCACAAACGAAACATTACGGAAACATGAAATCAGTGCTCTTAGTCAAACTTACATGATTCTCATTACCAGAGTCTACACCAACACTGAAAAAAAATAAAACATTAAAGTAGTTTAATTAGTATTTCACAATAATTATAAGGTGGTATCATATAAGTATACAGGTCATTTATAATGTATGTTGCCAGCCTGCAGAACACTGCACTGACACTAACTAACTAGCTAACTAAATATAAAATGAAAAGTGAAAATGAATTTTGAGTGATTCTAAAACATTCATTTCAGTGTGATTCATCGAATATCGAACTACACAAACATGTATCAAACGTTTAGATCGAAACATAGTAGGATTATTGATAAAATGTGATTGAAACACAGTTGTTACATATGTGTAAATGTGAAGAACAGGCAAACTAACAGAACAACTACAACTTGCACTGCAAATATCTTAGTTTGATCTTTATATTTATAAGAATAGTTTATTATGAACCATGATCTGGTACTTTAGATTCTACCGATTGAGATGGTTAGGACACGTGTTGCGCATGCCTAGCCATAACCTACCTTGACCGACGGGCAATGCTAGCTGAAATAGGTCCAATCAGATTGGAAAAGAGCTAGTTGTGGTCAAACCAAAACATGGCCTCATCAGTCGATGAAATCCACAACAGTCAGTTTAAGCCAGACATGTAGGGAAGTGTAAACTTCCTGGTTGGGGCCCTCGGGATGGTAAAAACCAATGAAGGCTGTAGACAATTGGTGAAATATGTGGCTCAAAATCTTCGTTGTCAATGGCTGGTGCAGATGCATTCACTCTTTGTGATTTATAATGCCTATTGTTTTTCCGTATTACTATTCTTTCTGCCTCACATTTCTCATTATTATCTGTCTTTTGAATCTCTCTTTACTCTCTTCTCTTGCTTTGTGTGCTACATGGAGGGAGTGTGGCAAGTCGAACTGCTGCACATCTGTGCAAAGTTCTACGTTGAAACCAGTCAGTCAGTCAGTCGGACTTTAGATTCTAAATAGTGCATTATTTTTCTTACTGAGAAAATATGATACACCTTTTACAGTATTAGTTAACTCGTTAGTCAGATATCAGTGGAAAACAACAACGACGACCTTGACACATAAGCCCTAAGGCGAATGCTGATAAACAAGCTTTAAAGAGACTTACGGTATATTTAATCGATGGAGTAGAGATATAGCGAAACAACCTCCAAGTAACACTGTAGTCACAACAATCACAATAGTCGTTGAGAAAAACATACGACGTATTTCGGAACTTGTATTACGAATGGCTAATGAAAATGCCATAGCACCTCGAAGTCCTGAGAAAAATATCATATGTTGAAAATTCAGAGTAATTTTGTTAACAGCTCTCTTTCTATTATCACCACCACCACCACCACTAGCTGAAGTGATTGAAACATCAGTTGATTCTATTGAATTTGATGACAAAGATGATCCAGGCATTATACCTTTATCGATAGAATAAGAATTAGACCTTCCTTTTAAACAATTTGAAGTGCATGAACAATGGTAACTGCGACAGAAGTTTATTAGAGCTGTTAATGGATATACACTGACAGCTCGTGCAATTACACATGCGAATAATGTGATAAGTACAAATCGAACATCCCAATAGTGATGACGGAAAGTGAATGTTGAAACACCAATGTAGGCAAATACAAAGTTTTCAGATAAGAAATTTAGAAGTTCAAAAAACTGTAAAACAAAATAATGATTTAACATAATTAGCAATAAAAAAGCTGTATTTATATATTTTAACTAGTGAATCAAAAATAGTATACTCAATTCATTTAAACCATCTTAGTATCATTACAACCAATCGGATAGATGACTGATTGACCCATCATTATGATGTACATCTGCAGGAGGAAAAACCCAAATTGTTTTGAAAATATCAACTCATATTGTTTAGGTATTAGAGTTGAACATTTTAAACTTATTAACTCATTACCTAAGAATAAGTAATGGTGATGTTTGTATTAAAAAAAATACAAATTCGTGAATACTTTTTTTTCCTTCACGTTCCCCAGTGGAACATAAGGCTTCAAACCTCTAGCTTGAAGTTTCTTTAGCAGTGTTTATTTTACGGGATGGGGTTGCTAGCCTCAGGCCCAACCTTTCCTCTTCACCAGCATTATTTCTGACTTAGTGAGGTAAAGGAGTGCGTCGGCCGGGGATCGAACGCCGGACCACGTGCATGGTCGGCGAGCGTCCTAACCGCTATGCCACCGAAGCACCGTGAATACTTTTAAAAGACGCTAATTAAAAAATCCATAAAGTACTGAACAAAACTTTGTTGTAATACACATGTCACATGACAGTTGCAATGAGATACTGTGTCAATGATTGTGAACACTGAACGTTTGTTCATTGGCCTTGGTCGCCATTGGCGGGCGACTTGTAGGTGCGAGTAATTCGACCGTGTGCAAGTTGGAAGAAGACGAAAGAATACGAATAGTAGTACAGTACATTCCTTGTAAAACATTTGTTTATAGACTTTGTACAGAGTATTGATTTTAACTGCCGAAGAATACAATTTCTTGTCATCCCTTATGTTTTGCAGTTAAAGTCGATATTGTACATAGTATAATTGTCGATTCGAGCGTCTTCGGAAATTATAGGAACTTAGGGTAAAGTTCCTGGACATACTGATATCAAAAGACTTCCCAAGTAGTTTTATTCTCTAATCAAAATATAACACTTGCAGTTTAAACTGAAGAGAATGGCTGGTATTTCCCTCAGATACAAAACGTACTCATTTGTTTCGTAAATTTTTATTAAACTGTATGTGGCTCTCTCATTTTGTTGGACTTCTGGGCAACCTTAAGGATCTATTCACTGGCTTGTTCATTGAGGTTATCAATGGTGTTTTGAACTTCATCAATGAGAACATTAGTGGAAACAAGTTCCCCCATCTGTGCTAGAATCATTGGTGGGACAAGGTACCTTGAGTTGAATCGCTTTTACAGACTATTGCAAATGAAGAGAATTATATAATTACATAATGCTAGTCACCTTAACCACCGGGAGCTCCAAAATTGGAGTGACATGCCTACATTTCGAAGTGGTATGTGCAAACAAGTAGATAAACAATTGCAAAAAGCTTGTATCCATGTAACCTATATATGCAAAATATACAGAAAAGCTAACTTTTGAAGTGATAGAGACATGTTACTCCGAAGAATGTCTTTGTAGTGTTATGTTCTCAAAGCTGAATGGGTTTAACTGCGAACCACTCATCATTTTTCTTCTAGAAAACACTCTCAATGCTAACTTAAAAATGAAATTCTTACTCCATTCGATCTAAACTCTTTTCAGTTTGTGGAACGATTCCCATAATCCTTCAATATTTTATTCAATTAAGCAAAGACTTCAATAAAAGTATACACATGAGTCTTTATCTACACTCAGCAGAAATGAATGAGGGACCCGGAAATACAGAACTCTAGAATTGGCCAACCGATAGCTGCTACCTTGACGCGGTAGTTGGGCTTGCATATCGCAATGACCTAACAAGCTACACTGGCTGGAACTAATATTCCTGCAGGTTCTACCATGCCAAGAAGATGTTTCCTTACACTATGCTGGGGGTCTGTGGACAAAGTCGTACTGCTGGGGAATAGAGATGTAACAGCAGTAAGGTGTTTGCCTCAGATGACTAGCATGCTAGCTGTGCTGTCTCTCCACTCTGGAGAGAGAGGGTTAGAAAAGGTCGACCCCAAAAATTGTAAATCCCAATTTACCCTACGGAGGTTTGTAGCCGGTGGTAAGTTACTAATAAGGAAGCAAACCAAAGAGCCAGTTCAGACAGACCGTGTGTGACCGGCCTCAAGCAGTTGTCTCCTGGGCTCTGCAGTCACATAACACTAATTATCTTTCTGTTTCAGGTACCCGAAGATTCAACCAACTTTCATGGTGTGGGCAGCCGGGAAGTAACAACCACCCACACGCTTCCAAAAGCACACGAGGCCCTCCTGATCATCATCATCTGTTATCCTTATCACCCTCATCATCTTGCCTCCTTACTACTGTCAGTACTATTTCGCAGGCTAGTCAGTCATCTTCATTTCATTCTATGACCATAAATAACAATGAGAGCCAGAAAAACACACCCAATAGCCTCTTAAAGCCACGCCGCCAACTTTATAATGGAGCAGCATTTAAAGTCAGGACCCTCTGCCAAATCGGACAGAGCACTAGACCTCCTCAAGTGATCCAATATTATTTCATGAAAAATACAACCTATTTACCCAAAATACAAAAAATTACGCTTCTGTTTTGATGCTAATCAGAATCAGAGTCTCTGGTCCTGCTCTCATATGGACAAAAATTATTCGAAACCCCTTGTGATATTTTAAACTCATAAAAAAAAGATTTGTCACTATGGTCGCGAGAAATTCCCTTTATCGGCACTAGTCAGGATCATATAATTCAACATACACTGTAGATCACGTATGACAAGAAACTAATCTACTATCCTTAGCTTAAACCTAAAAGCAATACAGTTCACTGGATTCAGTTAACCAAGCAATACTTTAACTGCACAAATCAAATACAAATACAGTCATTTTACAACAACTCCCAGGTATAATGGAAGGTAAGAACAATTATTACAAATCTTACACCACTCAACCACATTTTTACAGTCAAGTGAAGTCCCAACCTTCAGATAATAAGTGCAATTCATTCTTCACTATGCAAACCTCGTTAGTGAAAAGCACTACACTGTACGAATTAAAGAGGAAATATAAATTAGTAAATCCATGATTTACTTAAGCTAGATTTGGTAAAAAAACACCTGGTTAAAAGTATTTACCACAGTGCATCAAACAAACTACAAAGGCTTTTGTAGGCCTTGATGATGGAAATAAGTAAGTCTCAAAATGCCCAACTGCAGTAGTTGAAAAATATTTTACTAAACTATCTTGAGAGAACACTAGATCCGACAAAAAAATTAATTTGTTAACATTAATCGATACTGAATGGAAGTGAAATGAATGATGGACCCGAAAATACAGAACTCTAGACTTGGCCAACCGATAGCTGCTACCTTGACGCGGTGGTTGGGCTTGCATATCTCAATGACCTAAAAACTACACTGGCTGAAACTAATGTTAGCAACACAACTGCTCAGATTATCCACACGAATGACATTATGGTGGAGATTTACTCACTCACTTCCAAGAATACAATAACAGTAAGGTCTTTCCAGTGAATAACCAGCAAGACAAGGATGTTGCCTGTTTTCCTTAAGAAATGTCGACTGCCCAAGATTCCACATCCAGACTTACCTTGAGGCGATCCGTAGCCGGGAGCAGCTCCAAAATCAACTTCAAACAAGCGGTGTGACAAGCGTAAAGCAGTCGTCCCATGAGTCAGAACTGTGGCATCTCGGTCTAGAGATGTATGTTGTGCTTCAGGACACACATACAAGACCAGAGTGTGGTTATTTAATCAACCTCACCTGTCTAACATGGTGAAACTACAAAATTCAACTTGCGGATGCTGGTAGATTCTTCGGTTAGTTCGATTGAACTTGCTGAGAAATAGCATCGAGCGATAGGGTAGAGAAATAGCTAATTGACAGGATTCCAGTGGACAATCGTGTATACTGTGATATGACTATAATTGACCTTAGCAACTCAGAGATTGACTCGTTACCAGGAAACAGTCTCATCGATTTAGAATATGCAAAAGATATAATCCCCCCCAGATGAAGATACTGACAAAATGCAGTCTTCTAGACACTTTGAGCAGAAATATTAGTAAATTTGACATGCCATTTTCCCCTATCAATGTAAGACAACGCTGCAGGAGTGGTCTGTACCGACTCCTAGACCCTAGAGATACAGAGTAAAGTGTTTGAGCGTGCTGACCACTCCACGCCAGACTATTTGCATGGTCGGCGAGAGTCCTAACCTCTGTGCATCACTCCTAATGGACTGGTCGCTGATGTAATTCTAGCACGGGCACAGTTGGTATGAAGTCAAATCATCTGACACAGCATACATAACGGTGAATTGTTTGTATGAAACAGATGTAGCTGCGAGGAATCATTCATATGGTCTTGAAAATGACTAAGCATGAGTCAATCAACGCGAGTCTCCGTCCGTATGTACGTTTGTGCACTAAATACTGAACCACATACTTTGAGAGGCTTAGTAATACTACTTGGCTACGATGATCACGGTATTTGTAGATAAATTCACACGCATAATCCATTGGTTGCGAGTTAAGTGCCTACATCGATGAACAACAACTCCAAAAACAAAAATGCTTTATCAATATGCGATTTGGCAAGGCGAAGAAGGTTGGAATTAATTGGCTGCAGTTTACTTGATTTCAAAATTTAGTAAAAATATCGTGGGAATGTGTGATTAGAAATACATGATTTATAAAATTCCAGTCTTCCACGTTCCGAAATAATTTTGCACTTAAGGTTAACAAGATCATCTAGCTTTATGAATTCATACTGTTGGAGCAAATTTAGCATATTTTCATACAAAATATTAATGGAAATCGAGGAAACTTACGGATTTTGTCCACACTTTGGATTCATCAGACAGATTGTTGTAAGTATAATGGGCTTGTGTTACACCACAGAATAATACAGAAACAATACCTAGACAAAAACATTAGTAGATTCATAAGTAAAACACAATTATCGTTCGAACAATAACAAGAATATACATAGAAAATGAACCACCAACGCTTCATAGAGGCAGTTCCCATGCAATGAAATAACAGACCAACACCTCAATAAATGACATTTATGAGTGTATTTATCTCTTCCACAAATAAACTATAGTTATCTCCAAATAACATTTCTTATTTAACCGCGTCATTTTATAACGAGTTTATGGTTGACAGGAAAGATTTGTTGACAAGGTTAAATCATGAACTAAAGTAAGCTAGAGAATAATTGAAGACTATGGAGCAATGGACAGCTGCTTCGCCCTAGTTTCGGACCCTTCAGTAGTACATATCTATGTCCCCATCAGCAATTTAACCGTTGCCTCTTCCTGATCATGGGTGTGTCCTGTTGACGGTTTTTAAACCAGGATGCAACAGCTGTCCAGCACTCCTCGATTTTCAATGATTCCCAAACACATGGCAACAATCTAATTCTTTGTCGACTTATTCATGAAAAAGGTTCTAAAAGTAGATTACTAGATTACTAAAATCCCTACATACATTTACCAAAGATCAACATTACTCGGGGAAGATAAGAAAAATAAGGTGACAATATATTCAAAAACTTAAAAATGGAGGGAAAATTCCACATGTAATTTGCTATATAAAACTACAAAGACGTCTATGCATCTCATTCATTCCATATGAATTTAAAAGCCACAAAAGGACTTCCCCGGCCTACTGGTTTAAGTCCTGCGGCGATCCAAGACTTTACTTTAACTTGTTATCATCCCACAAAATTCTCTTCTATTATTAAAGCAGGTGCTTTCCATGCAAAAATGTAATGTGTGATACCAAACGCAGTGTGTAACGCAAGTGATATTCTCCGACAGCTCAAAACTAAGTCAACTGACCAGAGTCCAGACTTGTAGCATCCTGGGTGAAAGTATGACTCTTAATCCAGTGTGTTAAAACCTTACTACACTCTATAGTTTACCATGTATACATCCCAAAACCAGTTCTGCAGCTGAGTGTTTAAAGCACTCACAGTTTTGAGTTGTAACTGAAACACGAATTGCAGTCTAAAGCAAATTTGAAAGTGCTAGCATGCATCAAATACGTCTAAAAATGACTACTGGAGTAAACAATAACAGCTTCGCTAAGGTAGGAACTAACAACTCATCAACAAAACTTTTCTTATGTAAATGAAACTTCCACATTCTGCTAAATGTCAACTGAAACATTTCTGATAACAGAATTAAATATTACTTTCAAAGCCAAAAATCTAATGTATGAAACCCCATTTTGAATTAAACATATTATGGAGTAATACAGAACTCTGGTCATAAAAGCATCAGTCTGAACTGACACACTTTGAAGCAATACAAAGATAGGAACTAAACAGAAATAAAATGCTGATATAGTAGCCAGTAAGGTGTATTGTGAGAAGGAATAAGCAGGTGTTGGTAAAAAAGTACGAGGAGTACATCATATGGTCGTGACCAATTTTGAACCATTCAGTTGCGCCACACGCAAAAAGCAAAACATATTCAGTTTCTTAATTTCTTTTAAGAGCTACTGAGAAAATTATTTTGTCTGCCAAGTTTATGGCCAATGCTGTTCTGGGGCTAAAAAAAGGCGTAATGTTATAAACGATATATTTTACAAGCTCACCCGAGGAGTCAATCTGCATACCGATTGGCTTATCAACGTACAACGTATCTACGCTTCAATTAATTATTGTATTTCAATAATTTTTCACACACAATGATAAGTTTCTCTAATTTTTGAATTGTTTTCAATTTATAGATTTATGATCAAATATATAATACATCCACTTTGAGTATACCGATTTTTCTCTTATCCGGAGTTATGTTTCAGGTAGTTAACAGTTGTGGTGAGTTACCTATGTTCAATACTTTTGGAGTAACGTTTATGAATACAAACTCCGCCACTTGTCTTTCTCTCCATTTGTTCATACCGGAATATTTTTCATTCCACACATATGCAGTTCTAGGTGGTTTTCTTCAAATAATTGTTCACTTGCAATACTTCGAAGAGGTATTTGTTGGAAAAATGAATTCAGGACTGAATTCTAGAACTTAATAGATTCCACATAACCAGACACATAAAGGAATGTTACTAAACATTAGGAATATTCACTGTACATATATTTCTTCAAATTAACAAGACAGGTCTTTTTAATAGTCAAAAAGACCGCTAGGAACAATTTGTTTGTAACACACACACACACCTGTATGCCTACTCATAGGGTGAACTAAATAAATGTTAACCATACCCTTCATCTTAACAACAAGAGAGATTTAAATTCCTAATAATTCAAGTTTCCACTTGTTCATGAAAACATGTTGGCAGAATACAACACTTGTGTAACTGCTACAGGAAGTAATACCAATGAAAAAAGATAAGAAACACTGGTCACAAAATTTAAAGATAGTCGAGAACGCCTCAGCTCATGGCCATTTAGAAGATAAAATAAATGCATAGCTTTGTATAGTGGAAATAAGCTAGTAGGTGTTAAACTCAAACACCAGTAGTTTAAATAAATATATTTAGTGGCTTTGAACACAACTACAATACAAAATCACACCTTTTATTGGAAATACTGATAAAAATACTTCAGATGACAATCAGATCATCCGACCATATGATGCGTCTTGCTACTGATTATTGCGAAAACCACCAACTGCATTACATCTTATCATTATATGTAGTGTAAATTTGAATCATTTACATGAGAACGCTTTATATCTACAGAAGTGAGTGAAACAACGAATTATTTCCTACTATAATTTAAAAGTACATGTATTTAATCCAAAAACCACGCCACTTACCTGTAAGGCCAACAGCTTCAGCGAAAAGAAACGTACTATAAGACATAAGTACAAATAGAGTTGTTTCCAGGAGAGGGTGTTCCTTGATGTGTGTGAATTTGGTAAGGAGTGAAGTAACGCAGCCAACAAAAACGCCTATTATAAAAGAACCTCCGAACATCACAAAAAAATTCAGTATAGAAGACAAAAGAGCATAACTGTCAAAATTGCCAGCAGAAAGTGTTCCATATTGCTCAATAGACCTGAAAGTTGAAATACTTTAAACTATGATATCAAAACATTATAAAAATGATACTACGCCAATAAAAGTAAGATAACTAGTGATTACTAGACTTTCATGTATAATATATATATATATATATATATATATATATATATATATATATATATATATGCAATTAATGAGAAGATACATAATGCAATCTAACTTACTGAGCTAAGGCGATTGCTAGAGCATCATTAAGCACACTCTCCCCAAAAACTAGCGCATACAAGTTGACGTCAACCCTCAGGTCACTAAAAATGGCCAAGACAGTTACTTTAAAATTTACAAACAGTTACTGAGTCTTACCAGGGTCGGTTGCGGATATAATGGCACCAAACAGTAGACAATCCGAAAGACGTAAGTTTGCTGACAATGAGCTGATCCCACGAGTAAATCCATAGCACAGTGTTCTGCAAATGTATACTATTAGCATTTCGACATACCCAACAACTAGGGATGACAACAAAGTGCCACCAAATGCATAGGTAAGCACAGCCCCGATATTTTTGAAAAAGTGACCCTAACAAAAAGACATGAACATAAATTAAACATACGCGCTTCATGCTATATCCTGCCGAGAAGATTATAGGAGGTAGAAGAACATTAAAGAAAAATTCCGGGTCGAAGGTAGCCTGGGAATAATACAACAAACATACATACCTTATCATTTATTAGAGAGTCAACGTCCGACTGCTGTTCAAACTTGTATCGAAACAGCATACTTAAATTTAACTTTCCATACTGATCATGAACTGGTAATTCGATGATCAACCTTTCAGGGGGTAAGTGGCCACATGCGTCACCCGCCTTCCTAAAAAGAACATGTGACACCACTGAAAACTCTGCAGATTTGATTGCATATCGAAGTATAATGCCGACGATAAGCCCTGAAATTCAGAAAATAGAAAGCATAACATACCATACACCACTGAAAGTCCGGTCTCGTGAATATAACGAAAGCGTCTATGTTTAAATACCCATATAGTTATGACAGAAAGTGTTAAGAGCACAATGTAGACCAAAAGAATGAGATTATCCATCTTGTGATCATTTTGCAGCCTTTGTTCTGTATGCTTTTCAATGATCTTGCTCTCATTCACTAAACATCCGTAAGGATCAGATGAGTTCATTTCTAATGGGCCGCCTGCATAAGTGAGAGTACCACTAGGGTTACAAATGATTGGTACAAACAAGGAAGACCCTACACACAAATGAAATAGTTACACTCACAAGGAATCTCTTGTTGACAGATGATTTTCTTTCAGTTGAAAATCTGCAGTTACACGGCAACTCACCAAGTGATCTTTGAAAGCTAATCAACAAATTCACAGATTAAGAAAAATTACTCAACACAAAAATGCATTTGGAATGAAATAACGGACAAAAATGGATTAAATTAGGATAAAATGTATGTCGTTGTGAATAGGTACTAAATCGGATAATAATTCATGCACCCAAAACCACAAGCTACAACTTAACAGAGGTCCCATCTATTATTCACCTACAACCTTAACCCAAACTATACGATATTCCTACGCCTGTCAACTAACACTAGAAACTGAACTTAACTCAGAATCAATCCTAAACATAATTCTAATTTCAGAAGATCATATTGGAACTGTACCGCGACTGAGTAAACCCGCGTATATTGGCAAACAGTTACTTGCCCTTATCATTTAGCAGGTTGTCATGCTATGTTGTTTTGAGTATTCAGGAGTGTATACTTCTTACAGGATTTCTTCATGAGCTGACAATGGTTAGAGAACCACTGGAAAACCTGGTAGTACTGGACAGCTGTTTCGTCTTAGTTTGGGACTCTTCAGCAACGAAATCCTGTAAGCATTCAATCAAAATCCCTACAAACCAACACTTGAGTATATACTTCTGTTTCACAACAGTTTTGCACAGTCAAACTGAGTCAAAAGATAGTTGCATTTTACAATATCTTCCACAATTACGGTATCCCATTCGAGTTCATTTCTCTAGCATTCTCACTCTCTTGCGCTGATGCATCATTATATACAGTCACAGATAAAAAATAAAATCAAGAACAAATAACAAATGTTGACAAAACTGACTGCAAACTCTTACAAACGCAACGGATAAGTGTAGTGGCAAATGATTTTCTGATACTTGGAATAAGCTGTTGCGTTAAGTTATCCCGCAGCCTCCTATTCCAGGTGTCCGAAGCCCAAAACGAAGAATGGTCTATAAGAGCAGCATAAATCTCTGTTAAAAACATTTAGGAGAAAGGTTAGTTGATAATTTAGGAAATTTCGATCCTTGAATTTTACAAATGTTAACCAAATACGCCTTTCAGGGACATAGTGATAACAAAGCTACAAACATGCATTTTCCCGCTTTTTGCAAAAGACGGCCTAATAGACACCGATTCCATGTGTTACATTTACAAAACTGATATGGTCGACTAAAAACACGCACTTCTAAATAACAGAACTCTATAAATTCCACTCTTGATTTTTTACCAGTGTTATAGAACTTTTAGCATTAATATCTCTGCAGCACATATGATAATAATGTGTTTATCCTCATCCATGCAGGTACACACAAATTATACAGGCATAGGTAAATATTGTTTGAATTACATAAATTAGGCTTATGGTTTGCTTGAACGGACGCAGTTCATTTCGTCTTCAATTAATAGGAACAATCTGCTTTCTGGTCAGTCAATGTAGTACATTAGGAAATATAGAAACATTGTCTTCGTGGTAAAAAAACCAAGTCTGTGTTGGATGGATCACGAAAACTTGGGACAAACATTGCGTCGAATCTCATTCTTGATTTATAGTCAGATGGTGTGTTAGTTTAAGGTATTTAAATCACTTCCTCAGCAGTGTGACCGCAGTCTACCATCAGAAGCGAATTATACTCCGGGTAAACGAATGTCGGCCATAGACAGTCTTATTTGTTTTACTGTACCAGAAGGATGATAGTTCTCCAGAATCGATCAATACCACCACTCGTGGATGCACTGTATTCTGTTCGCTTAGGCTGACTTATATGGAGAAAACTGTTTGGAAATCAGTTTCGTCTTCATCTTAGATCATTAGTACTTCTCGTGCAGAATGTTATTCAGCGACCTGAAATAATCATGCTGTAGCTTTTAAGGAAGTTGAGTTGTTATAGACCAGCAGCTTCAAGAATGCTGTGTTATATATGAGTTAGTGGCTTCAAGTCCTGATTAACTTCACTCTTACTGTAGGCCTAGACAATTTCCACTACAGAGCACATGGAAGAGGAGAGAGAAGCAGCAAAATACTAGAAAGAGAAAAGTATGTGGAAACAAATAGAACCGTAATGTCAGAATATGCACATGTTTATACCAACTGTATTTTGCCGTGTAGTGAACATATATCTTGATATTCCCTCAGTCGTTTTGTGCATTTATGCAGAGTAACTGGGAAAGTTTTACCCTATTTTTAGACATAAAAGTGCCCTAAGATTTTATTTGTCCAAAAAGCAAATAATGCATTCTTATTGTTTGAGTAATAATTAGGATGAAACAGTCTGTGTAAAGAGCATCTAAAGCTCGCAACCAAGGTGCAGGTTCTGATTTCTAGAGGTAAACTGGTCCATATTTCAGAATACATAACTGTGAAGAACTTTCCGCAAAGAGATGATTTAGAGGCTTTTGTTGTCACCGTACATGTTTGGATACGCAGATTTTAAGAGTCTTGAGGTGAGAATCATATGTCCTTACTGTCTGGGAATGATATTTTATGCAGGGCCTTAAAGAAGAATATTGGTCTCGTACTAAGTGGGTCAGGATTTAGCATCATGCACCGTGAAATGTTGTCTTCCTTGCAATCGTCCCCAAGCAGTTGGGACGTGTAATATCGCTGGACACTTTCCATTCTCAGCTTGTTACGTAAGCGAGTGCTGCTAATAATAAGTGGACAGTATTCTAGTGGCGGCCTTTCATGTGTTTTGTATAGAATGTGCTTGAATTAATTGTCGTGAAAGCTCTTGAGTATGCATCCTTAAAGTATCCTAGACTCTAGAGTCTGGGTAGGTCAGCAGATTGAAGTGTTAATTTAATGCCGACTGATGGTGTGCTGAAGCAGATCCAACCAAATTTGTTCAGATTGAATCGTAGATTCCATAAAGATGACCAGGTAGTCACTTTATCTAAATCATAGTACAGTACATGAGGGACGCCAGTTTACATGCATCATCAAATTGTTACAGAAATAGAACCATATAATTCAATCACAATTTACAGGCAGTAGCAAGATATGCTTTACATGTTCGCTGGAGATTATACATACACTTGATAAATGTTAATCCCAGTAGTATAAAACAGCCTTTTCACTTATATACAATCATTTCTGTGCACAGTTGGAAAAATCTGCTAGATTGTCAGTGAGTGCAACACACCAGGAAATACAGAAGTATTGTCTTCGCATTAACAAAAAACCAGGTCTTTGGTGGATGGACTATAAGTGCCTGGGAAAAAAATAAAGCTTGAAGTCAATTTTCATACATAACTTTGCTGTGTGCAGAATCCTTGAATTATAGTTCATTGATGTGTTATTTTGAAATCAGTGATATGTTTATCTCATTTGATCTACAATGTCATTGTTGGGAGTAAATGCATAAGCTTCAGACGCATTAATTAATGGATTTCTACTGCTTGTGGGTATTTTCTTAGCGTGAGGAAGGTTTATGAATTTCAGCTGTTCCGACAGGAGTTGAGAATATTAACTGCTCAGCAATATTATGGGTATAAGTCCATCACACTATCTAAGGAAAGGTGGGTTGCAGTTCGTGAGGGATATATGGTGCCCAACGAGCGTACATCTGTTCATGTGATGTTGTGGTGAGTTATACCTTTTTCATGTTGTCGGTTTATGTCCATTTATGTCCATATATGATCGGAGGGTCAATTTATCAAGTGACCATAAGATACCGAAAATATAGCCAAGATTCAGTTTGTCTAACCCCAACTGTCCGTTAAATTATGCGAAAAGAAAAGAGACATCCTTTGCCTCAGTCTCCCATTGAATCAAAGTCTACCAGTCCACATTAACATGGCCTCTTCATAATACACACCACAGGTAAATGCGAATGTACCGGTGAAGACAGAAATGTCTACGCCCAGGCAACACAAATGTGATGAATACATGCTAGGGAAGCGACGCCTCAGTCTGTTTCCACCTTAAACTCCCCACATACAGAACTGGACTTAATTCACATATAGCCTCATATAAGAAAACCTGGCGTTTAAAAGAGTCAGGGTAATACTGATCCGTGGACTAACATCACATCTGCATTTCGTGATTAAACAGCGCCTGAATTTCCTTTGAAGAGTCACTCACTACCAATTTAAAGAGTCACACCAATGACCACAGCATCACTAGTTATTTGAAAAACTGAGATACAACAAGAATATTTGGTGGATGATTTACTGACATTTTCTCAAAATCGAAGCAGTGCACATCTCACCGATTCCGCCCTATCGTTGCTGACTCGTCCTTGGGGTATTTGTTGCTATCACAGCAGGAATAACTCCCGGAGATACAACTCATAATCTCCCATGAAAAAATCTAAAACAGACCAGGTTGCACTAAATACCTTAGTATTAAAAGCACAACGGTTGAAGTTTCTGCAAGATTTATTCTTCTATTTAACCAACTGTATGGGACAATTATGGTATAAAGGTCTAACTACGAGGTTGCTCAGCATCCATACACTAAGAGCACGATGGCTCTAATCTAACAAAAATGTTCATTGAAAGAGAAAAATGCACAGAAGCCAAATGAACCACAAATGGTCTAATTACCACAAAATGTGAAATGGTACATAAAGCACAACTTTAGCGACTGAGACTGCAATGTTGCATACACAGTACTTTCAGTGTTATGCATTAGTTGTACCATACCAGCCTTACTGTAGGGCCTTTGCAACACTACTGTATGGTCACTCAGACGTTGTGAGTCCTTAAAGAACTCAGAAGTATGGAACGAGCAACCAAGCAGGATCTATATCTTCTTCATGATTTGTAAGGCGTTGTTTATCTATTGGGTGACGAATGTCTGTCTGTTTATTTGAATACGTATTATCCACATCCCCTGCTCTCTGGCTTGCTTTCGGAAATAAAGGTTATTAAACGCTGTTGGTCTACTACAATATTACTTGTCGTTGGTTGGTGATTTGAATAATCCTTTTGACAGAAATTTTGGTTTCTAAAGTTTACAAATCTACCTAACTAATCAGCAGTCTATCTGAGTTGTAATTCCGTATTGGTTTGTATATTCGATGTATCACACAGTGAAACAGTATTATTTACTGGATGACGCTTCGAACAAAATTTATTGTTCATAATCATATCAATTATGAGTTGTAATTGCTTATAACGAATCACAAGTCAAAAAGATTCAGCTATTTAGTGATGTGCTCTGATGAAAAGGATAAAATCTTAGTAGTATGGCTGACTACGGGGTAAGATTCTATGCTTTTTAACAGCACAATATTTGGGCGAAAAATGCCGTTCGATTCTGTTCCGACGGCCACCTGTTCAAATAAATCTATAAAAACTCGAGACATCCGCAGATGGGCGAGAAGTTTGTCGTGTTGATATTCATGTTTGATCCACTGCACGAATAACTGTCTGGACTCTCAGCCCTCGACTGAAATCGTAAGTGAAACCAAGTGGTTCCAAATGGGACTATAATGATAACAGAATGTTGAGGAACTGCAAAATTATTGTTCTGTTAGACGAAATCTATCAGATAAACATGGTACAACCTTCGGATGTGAGGTTATGCGGCACCCAAACACCAATAACGCAATGGCTGAACTTAAAATGGCTTGCAGTTGACAAAAATGCGCACTTAAAGAAGAAACCTACAACAGTCCGATGAACTACAAATGGTCTAATTAACACAAAACGCAAAGCGGTATATAAAGAAAAACTTCACCGTGTCAAGGTTGAATATTTGACATGACGATTAAGTTGATTCAGTTTGACAGACTAATTTTAGTTTTCGGTTTATTTCGGCGCCATGGAAGGTATGCTACATTTCCTTGGCATGAAGATGTGAGCTCCCCGTGGGTTCGCAGAAGATGCAACTAAAAATTACAGTAGCTGCCTGGCATCCACAGAGTAAAAAGAAATGTTCTGCAAGCGAACGGTTGCATCTTCTATTTTAGACGTGTGAAAGCCATATTTTCGAAACTTGTAGAGATGGCAAAATAAACAGGCTTGTCTGAAATAAGTGATGCACACGATGTTGTGATGTGACGGAAGGTTATTTTTGAAATTTCCATGAGGACTGTGCAAAATCTCTCTTCCCCTCCCTACACTTGCGTTTAAAATTGAGGCAGCTGTCCCAGTAGGGATTCATGTAGTTGTGATGTTTGAATAGAGATTGTGAAGAATACGTAACCGGCTAGTATTTATTGTAAAGATTGTGAAATAAGGGCAGTAGTGAAATGAATGCATTAGTATCTAAAATCAATTTTATCTGCCTGCGCTCACCTCATTACTTTGCACCTTCTGTTAATGTCTGTGTTTCGTTATATTTACTGTTATTACTTGTGAGTTTTCAGTCGTCTAACAGAAAATAAGGATAGGTAATAAGTATGTTACAAAATATAGATACTTGTTTTCCCTGTTACCAAAACTATTTAAATCCGCCAACCATTTACTTCCCATCACCCAAACAGCAATTTTATGATTCGACTCTGCAGAGGTTTTCGAATTTTACCTTGTTGAATTAAAAACACTTGTGAGGTTTGTGGTTTATTAAAGGAGTCCATCTTTATCTGTAATTTAAATGGCATTAAACAATGAAGTGTTTGTAATATGTCTTTGAACACAATAAATGATGGCCGAATACTTGCCACGCGAAAACACAGATGGGACAGATGTCAGCATTTCATATCCCTCAGAATTATTTGTAATATATTTTCCCAATAAATGCAAATAAGAAACATTATACACATGAAAGGTACAAAGAGAGAGATTACCAGTTACCGCAGCATTATTGTGTCGAATTGTTAAATGCACATACTTAATTTTTGACCTGAAATGATAATGTTACTTCACCCCTAATCAGCCATCTCTGTATGAAGCAAGTCCCCATAAGATATACTGGATTTCACTTTATCTGGATTTACTTCTTTCGTTCTTTGCTTTTGAAGTGAACACGGGTTTCCAAGCTTTGTATTACCTCTTTTTGTGATGTTCTTTGTACGGCTTGCCACTGACCAGTGAACTAGAATTCTGGCAGCAGGTCACTGGGGAATCAGATCCATCACTTTCATATGGCTGGCGAGCAATTTACCACACAGCCAATTGTTCAGAGTACGTATGGATAGAAGGCCGAATATACAGAAATGTCTGAACTTTTATAACATGAGGAATGTGCGGAAAGCGTTTAGTGATAATTCGGATGATGCTTTGTAAACTCGGATCGAAAAATGCGTTTTATGGGCTTTTAATGTGCCACTTATTAGGCCATCTGAGATTTGACGATATGCACACTGAACTAAGGGTCAGGCACGAACAGCTGTATGTAACCCAAAAGCATTTTATGCAGTGGATGTGTTTTGCCTGGTGTGTGCAAGTTAAGCAGCCCACGGGAAGAGTAATGCGAATACAATTTTTCAAAAACAGACTGATTTGCCGTCACTTGTGAGTTGGGCAGAGTGTGGAGACATACCATATCTACGCACTCAGTCGCCACACAAATACTTTCGAGAAACAGTATTTCATTCAGAAGTTTAGCAACGCTCTCTAATATTTTAGCATTCAGGATATGAAACTACTATTGCAAACAACTTTCCATATATTAACCAGTTTTCTCATTTTACAATTGATAAAAACCCTCTTATGGCTTTTAAGACCTTCCTTTATTCTGAGGAAGTTAGAAAAGTAAAAGTGGAGCCTAGGTTTATGTAAATAAATACAAGGAGCTTCCATCGTCTATTGGACTAGAAACTGTTCTCCTAGTGACCTTGACTAATCGCGCTACTAGTGTTCGGGAGCATTCTTTTGCGACTCTGCTTCTCAACGGCATGGCGAAGTGGGGTGAGGGTGACCCGAGATGGATTGTTGAAGAACGAGCAGATGCAAAAAATGTCAACAATTGGCACTGGTCTGATAAAGATGCGACCAAATGGTCAGTAAAAACAATAAAAGAGCTGTTGCTAGGTTCTACTTTTGACAGTGATTCATGTAAGTAGGCTGTTACTGTCTATTTGCCGTTATCACATTAAAGGTTCTGGTAAAATAACTGATGTCTCTAAATGTGAAGGCGAATCTAACGTTCACGTTCGTAAGGGGAAGTTAATATTTCTTTATGAGTGGCAGATTGAGATTGATTGGGAGGGTAAGTACTGCATATTTCACCATTATATCTTTCTATATGTTCTGACTACGAATTCTGTCCTATGTTCCGTTCTGAACAGTCATGAGTGCTAGAATGTGTTAGCCGTGTGTTGGTAGTCACTTATATGAATTAGAATTCAAGTCTGAATATTCCGTTTCCTCTAAGGAGTTTCATTTGATTTTGCTCCATTCTTCTACACCATCACTCAGATACTATGATATATCAGTAGGACTTTGGGGCATCCTCCAAAATGCAAGTTCTTTTTGGGTGTGCCTATATGTTCACTAGGCTAACTTATGGTAGAAACGTTTCTACCACTTAAAAACTTTCTTATTTAAATGGACGACGTTTTAGAGTAGTAATTTTTGGTTCTTAGCTAATGGAATATAAAACGTAGAGAATCCGATTTGCGTTCGTTAATTTTCATTTATTGAAATGACCGATAGTAACGTATTGTCCAACGATATCTTATGTGCTACCACATAAATTTAAGTGTTAAAGCTTCGTCGTGTTATCTCTCCCTTGAAACGATTTATCTGAAGTTAGAAAGATGATTGACGAAATTCCAAACCTTATTACTTAGAAATCTGGAGTTTGCTACCTCATGGTCATCCTGAGTGCAGTACTAGCTGAAGAACCGTTAAGTTCGAAAAATGTATCGGTGATGATATCAGAACTGGTTACCAGTTGAGTTAGACAACCTAGGGACGCTTAGAAATTTCAGTGGTCTGAAGACAAGATTCACCAACCTCGGGAAAGATTTCATTTAAAGATTACGGGCCTTGGTTAGAATATTGCGTAACTAGAAATGGTGGACCACAGTTGGAAGTTGAGCACTTACTTCGCTTAATAATTTCCTTTTATTCCTTTACGTTACCAGTGAAACACAGGGCTTCAAGGTAGAGGCTTGAAGTTTCGGTAGCAGTGGTGATTAATTTTTACAGAATGGGGTTGCTAGCCTCATGCCCAACCTTCCCTCTTTACCAGTCTTATTACTGGCTTAGCGAGGTAAAGGAGTGCTTCGGCCGCGGGTCGAACCCCGGACCACCTGCGTGGTCAGCGAGCACTGTGCCACCGACTCACAGTGACTTAATAATAGTCACAGTAAAACATCTTTTAAGGACTTAGTGAATTCATTTGTTCAGTTTATACACTTCCATGGGCACTTAAAGGGGTTAATAGAAAAAATTCTTTGACATTGTGCAGTCATGCTTTGGTTTTCCTGTTTCTGTGGCTTGAGTAACGCTTGGATTTCTTCCCTTGGCCTCAACGGTTCCTTAAGTCGTGCTTCTTCTAACATCATTTGGCGCCAGTCTAGTGCAACACTAGTAGCAATTATGTTGGTCGGGCTGTAGTCTTTTTTGGTTTGGCATTTGTTTTGCGTTTTGTGGATATCTATAACTCATTGGTTAGTTTATGTTGATCGTTTTACTTCAGAGGTGATGTTAGACCTGCCCATTGAATGTAGTTAGTCAGACTTTAAGGACCTGAAGGCTGAGGCAGTTAAAGCCCATCACATTGAATTTACACCAGATCAGTTGATAACTCTGTTTTTACCTGTGAACCTCACCAGCAATTTAAAGCAATTTGAGACACAAATTGTTCAGTGTGTTAGGTTTGTTGTCATACAAGAGAAAACTTAGTTTAGGGAGTGGCTTTGAAGATTTTGAAATGCCTGACTTTATTTATCCTAACAAAGTAAGTATGTGTGGACCTTAACGCGATTCTTCACTCATCAACGTTAAACTACCTGTAACATAATGTAAATGTTTGTGGTTGTCGCATGGGATTTGTTTTGTTGTTGGTCAGAAAACTTAACATGAACAACTGACTGTTACTCGAATATATACTGGTTTACAATAACAGTTAGATTGTGATACTTCTATTCATTTTTTTTACCCATTTTTTATTCAGGAAATATCAAGGGTTCTGACAACAAGACGAATTTCAAGGGTAAAGTAGAAATTTTGAATATGAGTGATGAGTACACGGTGGATGAACTCGATACCAATGTCAGTTGTACTACTTCGTCGTTAAGTGGTGATTTAATGAGAACTTTTGTTAAGTCAGCTGGTGTTGAATGCATTAAGTCCAAACTAAAAGAATATCTTAAACTCCTTAAAGAAGGTATGTGGTTTTCTGTTCATATTATTATCATAATAGAATATGCTCGGGACCTTATTCTTCCAACCAAAAATGATACAAACGGTAAACCCACTAGTGTACCACAGTCTGCTGCAGCACAGAACAAAGTAACTGACAAGGCTGAACGTCCTCCAGCTGATGCCAAAGAGCCTAAAGATCTATCAAACAAAAACCTTTCAATCACAGATGAATTTTTCTGCACACCTGATGATCTTTATAAAGTTTTCACAACTAAAGAGGTAATTTGCTGCACATGCAGTCACAGTATTTATCTTAACATTTTTCTCTGATTTTTCATGGAGGGTGAACTCACTGATTAGTCTATAGTGACTGAAATCTGCATATAGATTACCTAGGCTTTAATTCTGAAAGTTAGTCATATGCATCACGTGGACTGGTTTCATTCTGGCTTTCCCTTCGTACAAAAATAGTGTTCATTCATTGACAATGCAGTTTTTGAAACGAAACCAAATGTAGCTAGAGTATAATCAGATGACAACTATGCCTTTAAAAACGACAGCGTGAGTTTGGTTCTCATCGTTTGTATTCAGCAACCAATACATAAATAGTTATGGCTTGTAAACTTCATAGCGGTTAGTATACGTATACCTGGCGAAGTCCTGATGTTTGTTTGTTCCAACAAACAAATATTTCATAGCACCTTTGCGCCTATGCTTCGAAATGTGACAACACGAATGTACTGGTGTCTACACTGAATCATCCCTCAGTTATATACGGTTGCTTAGATGTGTAGTGTGCTACATTCTGTTTTGTAATTCATATTTTATGTAGAGATAAATGGTATAGGCAGTGACACTCACCATTATACTTTTCATCTAACAACTGCATTTATTAAATATCTCTGAATGCTAATTTTAAACTAATGACTCGAAGCAATGAAGGAATATGAAATGAAATATGAAACAAATTGAGCTGAATACTACACAGTCATCCAGCTCTCATAAGTTGTTCCTTATTCCATGTAGGGATAAAAGACATGAATTTAAGTGAAACAAAAGGATATTCACACAATTTTCAATATGAGGAAAATAAAATAAAAGGTATAGTCCCAGGGTTACACTCCTGGTGATTATTATAATATGAACTTAATGGACATTCACTCTTTCAGAGATAATGTATCTTGTTTTCTACGTATTTCCTATGATCAAGCGAAACCAATCCACACTCTTGAAGATATTAGATTCCATGATGTATACAACTAAATAGCACCAGTCGTAGGACATTTCTGATGTCACATAGAACCTTTATAGGCCTCTTCGAAGGTGGACCCCCATAAAGTCTTGGAACAATCACACAAAGTTACGTAAACCCAAATAGCATAATATCTTCGAACTAAAGTCGAGTTTATACATTATACAACTTTGATGTGATTATGTTATCTGGTCTGGGTGGTTTAGTTGCGAAGCTTTCATTGTCTTCCCAGATAACATCCTCAACACAAACTTAAGTATGAAGTTAACTTATTTGAATTCTCCATAGATGATGCAATTATTTCTCCTGATAACCTTTGTTGTGATTGGTTGTTAACTTGGATCACTATTGGTCATTTTTATTGACTTCTAATGGGTCTTATTCTTTTTTAGATAACAAATTTGACCTATAATAGTATGTCTGTTGATTGCTAATTAGTCTGACCATCAACTCTCTAGGAATTCTCTGGCATTTTTGATATTTCTACTGTTTAGAATTTCTCCGTTTTCCCAGCCAAATTGGTATCCGTATTTGTCTGCATACTTCTATATGGAAGAATTCATGTCGTATCTTTAGATATCATACATTCTCTGGTGCGAAATCAAAAAGGACGACTATTTTCATCAATTTCATGCTTATCACAGTTCATTTAATTTATTTTTTGGTGATGTTGACCTCGTTGCGTCTTTTGATCTTGATTATATCGAATGAAGTGATTGTGTTGGTTTGTTTGAGAAACGTATTACGAATAATTTTAGTACTCTAGCCGTTATTTCAGTAACATTCTTTATAAATGGTAGGATGAATTTTCTTGTGGTTTCTGAGGATGGTTTCTTGCTAATAGTCTGATTGGGATTTAGATATTTTTTGATGAAATTGTAAAGGCATCCATCTTTCTTAAAGACAGTTAATAAATATTTCTCTTCTATTCTCAAGACTGGAGCGTTGCAGTGTGTCCTAGCTCTTTTGAATAGAGTTTATACAATTTCTTTGGTGTACTATTGTAGTTGAGTAATTAATCTTTGTAGGTTGACTTCTTGCATACTTGTGTTTCTAGATCTCATTATATTACATAAGACTGCTAAGTACACAGTGCGTTTAAGAACTCACAATATAGAATTTTCTAAATGTTTTACTGTTTAAAACAAATACTCACACTCCTAAAACTCTGTTTTTGATAAAATACAAAGTCTAGATAAGTCTTGTTTCTTCAAACATTCTTCATAAATACCTATTTATTGTTCAAGTTCTCCCATGAATTTCATGACAACTGTGGTTTTGATATTTATACACATATGCGTTCACCAATAAACAAGTTCATCGTGGATGCGTCATCGAAATTCCTTTGAATTATGTCAACTTCTATGATTGTTTCAACCCTATTTTAATATCTGCTTTTGATACAACTTAGTGAAGTTAATAATACATTTAGCCATTTAAGCGAATTCTTAATCATGAGAAATATTCTTTATATTTTAGTTGATTCAAGCCTTTACACGATCTGAGGCTATTGTTGATGCAGTACCCGGTGGGACATATTCTGTCTTCAGTGGTAATATATCAGGAGTTTTCGATGAACTTGTAAGTTCTCATTAAAAATTTTGCTAAACACTGCGATTTTCAGTGTAAATAGCTTCTGTGCTGTTCATATTTAAGTCTTGTACATTTTTTCTTGACAATATTCATTCTAGATTCCGCGGGAATGAGTGTAGTAACAAAAAGTAAATAAACGAAATCTACTCTTTGATTTTAGTTTACACAAAATATTTAATTAATGCAAGCCGATTTCTAGCCTACTCCGAGAATTCGTACCTGTAACTTGTCCAATGTACGTGACGTACACAGTCGTACTTCGTCTACTGGTGTCACTGTAACAAAAATGATTGAGTAGTTATACTGAAGTACAGCAGTTTTTGTTTATTAAAACTTGGTAAGATGTTAACACCACATCACATGCTATTGTTTATTTGTTGTTGCTGACCCTCAGTGGGGTCTAGGATCCGTCTTATATGAGGTTCTTATCTGCATGCATATAAACAATACCATTCCTACTGAGACTAAAAGTCGATAATCTTTATTCCAACCTTTTAACGAAGAATTATTATTAATTTATTATGTGAACACCAACAATTCATCTGCTTTACTGTATTTTGGATATTCGTCTGTCCCAGACAGTTAAGACAATCAGTGTTGTTTCTAACATTTTAGGTTGCTGGGAAAACAATTAAGATGAGGTGGCGTAAACGTGAATGGCCAGAAAACCATTACAGTAATCTAACATTAGAAATGAGCGCTTTTGAAGGTGGAACTCGCCTTTCTCTAGCCCAAACTAATGTTCCTGCCTACGACCTAGACAATACACGTAATGGATGGAGGACCATTTTTCTTTCTGCACTTAAACAAACATACGGATATGGTGGACGTATGTTTTAAAAATTTCAGCTTCTAAAATATGCATTCACTAAATGAGGAGGAATCTGCACCAACCTATACATATTAATCGATTGTGTATTTATGTGGACAGTTCTCGTCAGCAGTTAACATCCTAATAAAAGATTTTGTGATATTTGTTGACTTCTCCCTTAATAGTATTGAACCCGCGTGTTGCAGTTCTCTGAATAACTATATATCTAGAAGACAAAAGAGTTAACCAAGGAAATATTTACTTTTCAATTAGATCTATGGCTCAACCCTAATGTTTATGGCAAGTTTAATACAGTACAAGAATTCACTAATCTCTTAGTGATAAAGTAAATATTTCTTCGCTCAATGCTTTAGTCTTTTAAATAAGTAGATTGTCATAAAGTGAAACTTGCCCGAAGCTCAAAACAGAAATGAATTCGTTTGCTATTAAGAATGAAAATTATAAGAATGTATTGGAGTACTAAACCTTCGTGAAGACATCTGTGTTGATTTCGATAGCTACTTGCGGAAATTGATCACTTTAGGGAATATAAATTGATAAAAGTTCCCAATAATGTCCTCTCAAGGCTTTTATTACCTATTCGATTATTATTATTATTTCCTTTAGTTCCTAGAGTAACATAGGGCTTCAGCCATGCGTCTCCATTGCGTTCGGTTCTCTGCTAGAGTTTTCACCTGGCTCCAAGTCTGCCCATACGCTTTCAATTCTTCTTCACATGATCTCCTCCAGGTCACCCTTGGACGACCAACTCGTCGCTTCCCTTTCGGGTTCCACTCGAGCAATGGCTTATCTAGTGATGTCACTTGATGGTTTCCTCAGAGTGTGGCCAATCCATCTCCATTTCTTCCTGCCTATTTGTTTCACAATCGGCTCCTGGTTGGTTCGCTCCCAGAGATCTTTGTTGCTGATCCTTTCCGGCCATCTGATCTTGAGTATTGAGCGAAGACATCTGTTAATGAAGGTCTGTAGCTTGTTTGAGGTGCTCTTTATGACGCGCAGTGCAAGTCTCTGATCCGTATAGTAGTACTGACTTCACATTGGAGTTGAAAATCCCGATCTTATTTTTGACGCTGAATGCTGTTGACCTCCACACAGACTTGAGAGTAATGAAAGCTTGTCCCTTGCTTTGATATCCTCGTCAGTTCCGCCTGTAGTTGAAACAATGCTTCCCAAGTAGGTAAAGGAGGTAGTTTCTTTCAGGTTCCTTCCATTTATGCTGATTGCTGTCTGTTGTTGTTGCTGTTGGCCAGGAATCTTCATCACCTCCGTTTTCTCTATGTTCACCTGGAGTCCTATCTTTGATGCTTCTTCTGCCAACTTGTTACTTTTCACTTGCATATCTTCCAGTTTGTGGGAAATCAGACATATATCATCGGCGAAGTCCAGATCCTCCAAGTTCTTTGTGTGAGTCCATTTTATGCCTGTTTCCTCATTGCCCGCTGTCTGTCGCATTATCCAATCTACTGCAATCAGGAAAATCATTGGCGATAGTAGGCAACCCTGTCTTCACTTCGAAGGATTCCGTGAGCTTCCCGTTGTGGATTACTTGGCATGCAGCGTTGTCATACAACTGTTGGATGAGATGTATAATTGTCGGCGGCACCCCGTAGTAGCGAAGTAGTTGCCAAATCACCTCTCGATCGACGCTGTCGAAGGCCTTTTCAAAGTCGATGAAGTTGAGATAGAGAGGTGACTGCCATTCCAAACTTTGTTCAATGATGATCCGTAGTGTGGCGATTTGATCAATACATGACTTGTTTCTCCTGAATCCAGCTTGTTCCGGTCGAAGTTTTTCATCCAGGGCTTGTTTGATCCTTTCCAGGATGATGCGGCTTAGTATTTTGCTTGGGATGGACAGGAGCATAATTCCGCGCCAGTTCTTGCATTGACTTAAGTCTCCTTTCTTCCAATCCTCGGGTACTTTGCCTTCTTTCCATACCTTCTCCAGTAGTGGCGTCATCAAGTCCGCTGTTGTCTCTGGGTCCACTTTCAATGCCTCTGCTGGGATTCCATCTGGTCCTGCTGCTTTTCCAGTTTTCAGCATCTTGATTGCCTTCAGGACTTCTGTTCTCCTCGGGGGGTTGATGTTCACTGATAATTCTGCTTCCGTTGTTGGTATTGTTGGGCGCGTTGTAGGTGGCGGTCGGTTTAGTAGTCTTTTGAAGTGTTCAGCCCAGTGTTTCCTTTGCTCCACTTCTTTGGTGATTGACTTTCCGTTGTCATCCTTCACTGGCTTAATTTGTGACGAATTTTTGCCTGAGAGGTACCTAGTTGTTTGGTAGAGTGTTGCGAGGTCTCCTTTGCCTGCTGCTTGTTCTGCTTCATTGGCCATGGCTTCATAATACTTTCTATTGTCTTCTCTGGCACTCTTCTTTACTTCTTTACTCCTTTGTTCAGTGTATTGTAGCTTGCATTCAACTCCTGTTTCTGTTGCTCGTCGGTGCACTGGATAATCTTTTGTTTCACCATCCTTCTCTCTTCTATTAGCCTCCAAGTGTCCGTAGTGAGCCACGGTTTGTCCTGTCTCTTCTTTCTGTCCAGAACTTCCATGCAGGTTTCGCTTCATACCGCTTTCAGGTTGTCCCAGTGTTTTTCGACGCTGACCTCTTCGCTAATGTTGATTTGTGTCTCAGATTTGTCTTTTATGCTTGCAGTAAAGATATCCTTTGTATCCTGGTCCTTTAGTTTTTGAGTGTTGAACTTGGCTTGTGGTCTATCTGCAGCTCCTGTTTCTCTGGAAGCTTTTAATTTGAGTTGGATTGTTCCTTGTACGAGGTAGTGGTCTGAGCCAACGTCTGCTCCTCTTCTTGCTTTTGTGTCCAGTAGGCTGCGCCGCCACTTCCTCGAGATTGTGATGAAGTCAATTTGGTTTTTGGTTCGCCCATCTGGTGACACCCATGTAGCCTTGTGAATATCCTTGTGTTTGTATACGCTGCCACCAATCACTAGTTCATTGAAGGCGCAGAAGTCGGCGAAGAGTTCTCCATTTTCATTCATCTCTCCCAGAGCTTCTTTACCCATGATGAGTTCCCTTCCTGTGTTGTCTGGTCCAAGTTTGGCGTTCATGTCTCCCATTAGTATTTTAATGTCACCAGCTGGAGTATTGTCTATTGCTGCCTGTAGTTGTCTGTAGAATTCTTCTTTCTTTTCGAGGTCTGCGTTGTTTGTGGGTGCATAGCACTGTATAATTGACACTTTTCTTCCTTTGGAGTTGAATCTGGCGGTCATTATTCTGGGTGAAGTCGCCTCCCATTGTATCAGAGCCTTGGTTGCCGTTGGTGACATCATGATAGCCACGCCCTCGGTGTGTGTGTGGTTGTCTTCTGGGTGACCGGAGTAAATCACTGACTCACCTGTTGACAATTTGGTGAGTCCACCTATTCGATACAAAGTCTTTATAAACTTCAGAAACTATGGGAAAGGAACGCAAACAGCGAACCAACCATATAGTTGTAAACATGGATAACAGACAGAGAAATGAAAAGGAGAACAATAGGCGGTCAGAAAATCAAATTGTGGTGGACCAGTAGTTTCAAAAATTATAAGACAAATCTGCTGGTGTTTAGCTATAGAGACGCTAGCCATTTAAAGTGATAAACCAATGCTTTTCTACCAAAAGCACACTAGATGGACTTTCAAACTACAAGTAATAAGTGAAGGGCGACGAAAGAGTCTTTGACTATCGAAGCTCCTTTGTTATTCACAAATATTAATTTTCTCTTAAAGGATAAAGTAAAGGACTATCGGTAACTATAAAATACAACAATTACCAAAAGATTGTTAGTACTAAATATGGTAGAAATCATCGAGTATGAGTAATCAAGTTTGATGTAACCCGACAATATTCGGAGAATGAAGGAGTGGTTTTCACTGTCTTGAGCATTTTATTTTTCTGTCACATTCAGTGTTAATTCACTGAGTTTCTAGAGAAATGTACACTACCTCAACTACAAATATTCACCATCATTTCAGAGAACAGCGTAACCAACGTAGGTAGAAAGGCAGAAAAAGTTGATACTACGCAAAGTGTCATCTTAACTGAAGAAGCAACTCCCAGCGTTTGGAAATAAGGTGATGCTAGGGGGGATGAAACATGACTTTTGTATAAAAAGTATACGTCCTCAATTTGAAGATACCCCAAGAAACTGATGGGTAAAGTCTCATATGTAACCACCCTTATATATACTGGCTAATTCGTCTACTAGTGTTGTTACGTGAAAAAGTCACTTGATGGACGTTGTGCAGAAAATGGCACTGTAGTTACTGAAACTTGTTTTTACTCAAAAAGTTAAAACAGCGAGTACTTATTCTTTCGTAACTATTACTATACTACATTCTCGCAGTTACATCATACCACCTTGATACATTTCAGTTATACACTGCTACATTGAAGTATTCAGTACGTGTTATAACGGAGTGTTACTGTTTTTGTAGCTATTGTCTAACTTGACTAGAATGCGCCTCTAGATACGACATTGTAGCCAACTGATCATTTAAAAATATTCCCAACACTGAGATAGACACAAGTCAGATTTAACTGCGACAACTTTATTCAAAATACAGGATATATATCATTTACACATCTTCAGAAATTTAAACCATATACAGATAATCAATATCTGATTGATTGCTTGAACTAAAGGATTCTCCAAAAATAAATCAACCAGAAAGTCTCTAATCATGACTTTACGGCTGCCAACGATAGGCTGTCCGTCCTAACACCGTGTTAAACTTCAGCAGCTAATTGTGCAATTACTTATAACAATGGCAACGAAAACTATGACTTTCGATATTATTCTGTATTGATCACTAGAGTGTACTGTAAAAACTACATACATTTATCTGAAAAAGTCTACTTATTTGAATTAAAAAGGGAATTAAAATCAATGTACAACAAGGGAACATGATGTAGTGTTTAATGCAAAAATACAGCCCTTCTGTCGTGTGCCTACGGGCCGAAGTTATGTCGGAATAGCTTCCATACTGTCAGGAAGTTTATGATGTCTCCATTCCTGCTTTTGACGATTAGCTGCTACTGCACTGTCAACAACAGCATCCATCATACTTTCTGTTAAAACACCATCTTCACTAGAGTAAGCAGCCGTCTGTAAACATAACAGAAAATGGAAAACATAAGATTCATGGTGGTTATTACTTAAACTTCTCAAACAGGCAACTTTCTTACAAATTAAAATAAGTGGTTTGAACAAAGCAATAACAACAGACTAAACAGGATAGAAAAGATCCACTTTATTCCATTGGTAACTTGTCAACAGTTTGTCGGAGAACAAATGTTGATCAGCCTGACATTTCAGTTAATCTCCTCACCGTGAATTGTTGATATTAGATGGTTGATGGCAATCGGCAGGAATCCCTGAACCTAGGTTTCGTGCTAGTCGGCACTCACCAGTCAGCAAGGCGTATCTGCAACCTTGAAGGAACTCATGTCCTTTCTGAGATTCGAACCCATGTCACCCACCCCCACCCAATGCTACAGTGAGAGATGTTACCACTGAGCTATTCGGGCTTCCGGTTGATCTCCTGTAGGATTGTATTGGACACTAGTTGGTAACTAGTGCCCAATCAAAGTAAACTATTTGCCATAATCGTTCATATTAGCTGTTCAACACTTTTTTCTCTAATGACAAGATAAAATGCATCCGTTCTACCTTCTCCCATGTGCTGTTATGGCTTTGTTCAAATTCATTAGGCGGAATTCATGTATTGAATTTGATGCTGCATTGCCCACTTAACGCAGATAATGAAAATTAGTTAAAAAGGTAAGTCAAGATGATGAGGCTTACACTACTTTCTAAAATTATGACCTCAAATTTAAACCATAAATTACAAGTTGCTTCAAGTAATACTTTTATGGATCCGGCTTTGTCTGAAGTTTTTTTCACACCCGATGAAGCGAATACCTATAAACTATGTCAGCCAACTGGCTTTTTAAACTGTAGAAAAAGACACAGCTATGAATGACTTCTACATTTAATAGAGTGTAGAACAAAATTCAAATAAAGCGTCTAATCGATGAATCTCTTATGTTTTTGTTAAGTAGGCGGACATTTTTCCAGACAAAATGAGCAGCAGCCAACTGAATTCATTGATTAGTGATATGAAAACCGGATACATGATTAATATATACTCGCCAAACGCAGCAAAAGTACATGCAATGACTCAGTGATTAAAGAACTAATTTACAAAATATAAAATGCACTACTCTAGCTCACACTGCTACGTTAATTTACTAAGATTCAAAACTTCATAATCCTTCAGGGAAATTCGTTCTTTGATTGGTAACCAAGTGGGATCCTCATTTACGACAGGCTATTTTTCACAAGTACTACCGTTTAATAGCTGTCAGTAAGAGATTAAGTGTCGTTCAGTAAGTTTACTATCTAATCTGAGGTAGAGAGGAAATAACCTCTAGCTTTCGCTAACTTACACCACCTCTGGCGTAGGCGTGATATCCGGCTATCAACCAAGGGACGTGTGTACTGCTCAGCAGTTCGCTCCGTCCTTCTCTGTGGCTCTCAAACATGACCAATACGAATTGAAGACATGAAAAGATTGACTGTTTTTGATCATAGATGTCTACGATCTCTTTCTCACGTTAAGTGGCATAATAAGGTAAGTAATGTTGACGTTAGGCGTAGAGTGTTGGGCAAAGAGGGAAAATCAATCGAAGAGGCTATAAAGTTACATAGATTGAGATGACTAGGCCACGTGCTGCGCATGCCTAACCATCGCCTCCTCCGACGGGCATTACTAGCTGATATAGGTGCAGGTTGGAAAAGAGTAAGTGGTGGCCAAACAAAAACATGGCCCCATCAATCCATGAAATCCCTGACAGTTAAACTGAGTCAGGTAGGGAGATGCAGACTTCCGGGTTGGGGCCCTCGGGACTCTAAGAATCAATGGCTGGAGACAAAAGGTGACATGGCTCAAAGTCGTTGTCAATGGCGCAGATGTATTCACTCTCTGTAATCTTTCATATTCCTTTTTACCATTACCCATTCTTCTCTTATACTTATCAAAACTCTATTGATTCTCTTCACTCATATTCTCGTCTACCTTTGTGTGCTATCTGGAACGTGGCAACTGGAACTGCTGCACTTCGGTGCCAAGTTCTATGTTGAATCCAGATAGAACCTCTCAGTGCCCACAAGCTAAATATTTAATTTCGTGGTGATTTGATGACCGGAATATGATCACGTCAATACAATAAATAATATTCAGGCAAGGATTTACTTCACAAATGGTTTCGTGAAATAAAATCCTCGGTAAGAGAAACACTACGTTTATGCATGTGATGCATATAACACGTAGTTTTCTGACAACTTCGACCTACAACACATTTAGTCTGAAACTTGCTTCTACTACTTTTATTTGGGATGAGAGATTGAACACCAAAGCTTTAAAAATACACTGCATACCTGCCAACCAACTGCAATCTTGGAAATTTCACGTCCAGAAAGACCTTCAGTCCTCTTTGCGACATCTGCACATTTTACAGTGTAGTTTATGTCTTCAGCTAGACGAATACGATGACTCTTGGTTAGTGAAGGCTGAAGAAGGAAAAGATCAAAGTAGTGTCGGACAAGTCGTTCACGTTCTTCTAAACCAGGCAATGTGAACTGAACAATTTCATCCATACGATCATTAATTGCCCAGTCAAACTGTTCTGGTTGATTACTTGCTAGAACTAACATAAACCTGTAAGACAAAAGGTTTGTAATTAAAGGAAAAAGTGACAGTCATAGATTAACAATACACTATTATGAAGGGGTAAAGAATAATTCAAATCAGAATAAAGTGAATAATATCTATAGCACTGATAGAAACAGTACAAGACGCATGGACTGTTAAGTTAGTTATTTAAATGAACTGGGTAATGTGAACAATAGATGTATCGAGTAAGGAGTGATGAACACGCATTCTAAACTCTATAGCGTATTACTGGTGAGATAGGATGGCTTACTGTTTTATATGAATTAGTACTAAATTTATCCTAAAAGCTTATGTTTCACTCTTGTCTTTTCTTTTTATTCCTTTACGTTCCCAGTGGAGCATATGGCTTCAAGCTAGAGGTTTGAAGTTTCCGTAGCAGTGAAGTTTATTTATTTTTTTCTACGGGGTGGGGTTGCTAGCCCCATGCCCAACCTTCCCTCTTTACCAGTCTTATTACTGGCTCAGCTAGGTAGAGGAGTGTGTCCGTCGGGGATTGAACACTGGATCAGATGCCTGGTCGGCGAGCATTTCACCGCTGCGCCATTGACACACTCCTGTCTTTAGCTAATGCCAATAGTTTCACACATTTTATCACCCCACGAATTATTTACCACTCCTATAATTATCAACTAAAATTTAAGAAACATCAGACAACTGGATTGAACTCATCAATTCAGAATAAGGAGACGACAGGAACACTATTTATCAAGCGCTTTGTAGAATATTAAATACATCAAATGATGCTTTTCATACTGGACAAGTTTATTTGATACAGCAGACAGTGATATGGTATACAAATGATACTGCCATACTACTGTATTTCTTTTCAAATAAACCAATTTACCTGTAGACCAAGTGATACTTTTTAGAAGAGGGTTTTGTTTATTTGATATACCTATCGCAGAATATTTAACTCACTTTGGTATGAATTCATACCACATGCATATCATGTTGCAGTTGGGATACTAAATAATTTTCCTACCGCTGGCAAAGTCAAATAAAAAGTGGAACTGGTGCTCAACCTATAAATGCAGAAGAACTTACATTTCTGTTGTCTCAATGACAAAGAAATATGTGATATGTTAATACTTTTAAGGTGAAGAAGTAACTGAAATTGTGAATTTAGGACTAGAATCCTCATTTACTCACAAGATTGGCATATACAGACCTACGCTGAAAATTATGCATATTGCGTGGACTTACTGTGCATAATAAAGCTATTATTACTGTTATTATCATTATGAGTTGTCTAACTCCTCTGACATTAAAAAAAGACAACTGTTTTCACCTATAGCAATGACTACTTAATGCTGTGAGTGGTTATAAACAGCTTGCACTCCTTTAACAGTTACAGTCTATGTGCATCTATGCCAACGATAATTACTAATTATTATTAGGTGTGGTTCATAGCTACGTTACAACATTCATTATAGTATGGTCTACAAAAAATAACTGCTACTTATACAAGCTGGTGACGTTAAGAAAAGTAATACCTAACTGGTTACATGCATGAAATAATGATTACAAGGTTTATAAGTTACCTATAATTTTACATACAGAGTACAATTATTCATCAAGTAATAGATACACATGAATTGTAAAGGGACATCTCAAAGAGAAATACAGCTAAGTGCGAAAACTGTTTTATTTTTTATTTTTTTTAATTTTTGGTTACAGCTTGATGCCACACCGTATTTTCAGTACAAGTATGGAATTTTCAGCATGGATATCGGTAGCCCAAATTTTACAGGCCGACCATAGATATCGGGTGTGCGTCGGCAGGGGATCGAACCTCGGAGCATGTGCATGGTCGGCGAGAGTCCTAACCACTGTGCCACCGACCGACGGCTGCTACCTTGACGTGGTGGTCGGGCTTGCATATCGCAATGACCCAACGAGCTACACTGGCTGGAACTTATGTTCCTGTAGGTCCTACCATGCCAGAAAGGTTGTTTGGATACCGGTTAGATAAAAAGCAGTTATCCATTCCAATGCTATGACTCCAACAAAATCACAAAATATCACGCCGGATCGGTCAGGGCCCGGATTAACAACGACCGCGCTTCCTGCTGCCGTGTCACAGGGCAGAAGTGATAAATATGCTACTGAGACACTCCAAATAAAAAAGAACAAACAAAAACAGGCCACGTGTGACCGGCCTCAAGCAGTCGTCCCCTGGGCTCTGCGGTCACGCAACCAACTTCCACGGTGTGGGCAGCCGGGAAGTAACAATCGCCCTCACAATCCGAAAACTGTTTACTTAGATAACTCATAAGGCATAGTAATACCATATATCATGGAAATTTTCAGACTTCACAAACTTACTTCTTTGATTGTTCGCCAGTTCTGTACAAGAAAGCATTCAAAGTTGCTCGAATACCTTCACTTATTCGTTCTTGTTCTCTTTTTCGAAGAAATGCATCCGCTTCATCCACAAATAGTAGAACTCTGTTAATAAACATCAAAAAGGAAAATTTGACTTTCGACATTTCAAAAAACAAAGACGATATTTTGGTTTCTTTTTTCTACGCTTCTGAAAAATGTAACTTAAATCGAAATCCTATTGAGATTGTAAGTTTGAAATGCCTGTAGTCACCCAAGAGTATGTTGAGAGTTATCATTTCAACCCAGGGACTACGCTAATTGTGAGGACACATGACAACACCTAGATGCACAAGCCGAAGTAGGCATAGTGGGACTAGAACCTGGGACCAATAGGATGAAAACCGACTGCTTAAGTTAACGAAGAAGCACATCTGTATTTATTCAGGTAATGAGTATACTAACTGAAAACCATCGGAAGACTATTCTGTACCACATTTCTCCGTCTGAGCACAAAGACAAATTAAAATAGGACTTTTAATAGATTTGCGTTAGTTACCGTACTTAGAAAATGTACACAAAATAGACATATAGTGAAAACAAAATATATAAACATGGGTATCAGGGTGAACTAATTCAATAAGGATTCTCAGGATCTAAATTTCGATCAGCAGCGAATATATTTGTACTATTTCGATTTACTTTGAGCTATGTCGCCAAGATTCTCCAACTCTTAACCTTAGGAATCTCAAGAGCTTTAGTAGGAGGACCATTATCTTCCTACATGATCAATAACAACATTAAATGAATTCATCGGTTGACAGCATGTTTTGGCCAGGTTACCCAGAAGTCTTTTCCAACCCAGACCTACTTCAGTTAACTTCGTTAAGTGGGGAATACCACAGCTCGAAATAATTAACACATTCCCCACTCACTTCAGTAGATGACGACTTATAACCTCCTCGACTAACTGACCACATTGAATATCACTACGACTAATCTCAACACGTTGCCTCACCTAACTCAACCGATTGGGCGAATGCATTTTACGTAGTTTACTTTTGGGATTCACACCTCACTAAACACGCCTCTTTATGGACAGTCGGATATCTTTCTAGCGCCAAAGATGAAACAATTAGGCAAATGTACAACCAGTCTCTTTTAAGCAGAGTATACCTTAGCGATCATACTGTACACAATTGACTTTGATGGAGAGTACTCGTAGATTAGAATGTCCATGTGAAGCAATTATAACAATGTCTAGCATGACCCTGAAACGTTCGTCAACAAAAAACAGACTAGAGAACAATACTATTTGAAGAAAGTAGGTTTTAACGATGGAGTGACACAAATAAACATAGCCAGTCATTAAAGACTTGAACTTGACAGTGGTCAAATTCCATCTGTGGTATATGCTACACACACATTTCGACTTACATTGTGTTCCTATTTGTTCAGCTGTGGTCCTTAAATAATCAATGTTCACATGTTACAGAATTTATATAAGGATCGCAATTGGTTGGTAAAAGGTATGCGGACAATTCTGGCTCCCACAACAACACAGCTAGGAAGACAACTGATGTTTATCAAGTTATTTCATGAAAACTATTTGTTACGAATATGAGGAAACTACAGAAATGTGATATGTGGTCTTCAAACAATAAGCTATGCGGATACTTTTATACGCATTGAATTTATTTCTCTAGTTACGTAACAAACTCCCACGTTTTATAAACACCGGAAAACATTTTTTTAAACATTACTTTACAAACAAAACAAGTGATATAAACTATAATGACTCACCCTTTCCGACTAGTTTTGGCCCAATCGAAAACCTTATGGACTGCAGTTACTCCTTCATTCCCCATAGGTGCGATATCTCCACCAGTCAAAATAGCATAGTCCATGCCAGAATGCATTGCTAAACTCTGTTAATTCAAAAGAAAAGTAGGTTAGATTACTTGAAAATGTAGTAAAACATCAAAATCGAAAAATTTCACAATATCCATGTAAGTCGCATCAAAGATATTAAAGTAACAATAAACAATAACTGCCTGCCAACTCAAAGTTATCTTACAGACAGTCCCACTATGATTAAAAACCTAGAACAGTTCTTGACTTGCTTATTTCGACGTGATAACCAACAAAGAACAAAATTCTTAGCTAAAGATTACTTCAAAAAAACTAGATCCCACAGTATATTACAGTATTTACTATGATTCAAGAAGTTTTGTACGAAATTTATGTCTTGCTAACAAGGTTATGTGACGGAATCCATCATATACGAAAAGTTTCATTAAATTGGGTTTTTAAGTACGACTTTGATAAATTTATTTCGATTAATTTCATTGTTTACTGAATATCCAACAATTAACTGTAATATAGTGAGTCAAAGATAATGCCATTATGATGCTCACTAGCGACTGGCCCTATTCAGGCAGTGACCTGGGGTTCTAGTGGGAAGCCGTGACCAGTAGGGTACACCAGGTTGAAGATGAGGCAGTAACTCATCGAAGAAGACATTGCGAAATGGCCGCGCTATGTCGTGAATTGGCAGAAGTTAGAATTCATGGACTGGCCATTGGATCACGTCCCAGTGGCTTAATGGTCTACCAGCTCGCTTGCCTTGTAACCCGAAAGTCTTGGGTTCGAACCCCCATGGGTTCGTACTGATGAAAAGTCCCAAACTAGGATGAAACACCTTCCAATACTTCCAGGTTTTGCAGTGGTCCTCTAACTGATGTCAGCTTATTATGAAATCCTCCATCCAATAATGCTATTAGTTTCTTCAAATTTCTCTATTTACAATATGGCATATTTTACAAGTTATTTCATTCATTGATCCTATACATTTGAAAAATGTCGAATGATCTCCTGTAAAAGAATATATAACCATGTAATACAAGCATATTGCATTGACAATTGATTAACTATTTTAATATACTAAGCACTTGGTCACATTAGATATAACTTGAAATCCTTTTCACATTTAAAGAGACTTAGTTGATGCATGAAAATCTTACATTTCAATTAGTTTTACCCAAGCTTTACATGAAAATCATAATTTACTGCTTTATGACAGCATCTTAAGTTCATAACTGTTTACATTATGAACAGATGAAATGACCGAGTTTGACAATAGAACTCTGCACAGAAGTGCAGTTCAAGTTTTCACCATCCATGGAACTATGATAAGCAGCAATGTGCAGGAAAGAATATTACACGGAAAACATGACGGTACAGTGGATATGAGAGATAACAAAGAGTCCATGCATCTGCACCACTAAGAACAATTTTGAGCCATATCACCAGTAGCATATAGCCATCGATGAACAGGTAAAATATTATTAACACTAAGACTTACCTTGGCAAACATTGTCTTCCCAGTACCAGGCGGACCTGCCATCAGAACGTTTCGATAAAAGCCACTATTCGCTTTAGTGTGTCGCGTTGCTATGGCAATTTTTCTTAAAGATGCTTCCAATTCAGGCTATAAGGAAAAAGGTATCGAACGGACGTTAGGCAACATTTAAACGTCCAACTGAAAAAATACTACAATATTTGTGTTCGGTTCTCCTGAAAACCAGTCAATGGCTGTATCATCATATGAATTATTGCAATACCATCAAAAGTATAGATGTATGTACAAATCCACTAGATGTCAGACCCACCGAAATCAAGAATCCAATGCTGAATCAGAAGAAAGAACTCTACTGAATTCACCAGTACCAATATTTTTAACAACCAAGATATTTCAACCAACTAACTATTTTATAAGATGAAATGTTTAAAAAAGTTCTGTTATACTGACAGTGTGGTTATCACGTTTAGTTGGACACAAGCTTGACGAAATAAACACAGTAAGACAAAAACATATAAAAGCAGGAACAGGAATATAATACGACATATTTAAAATATATTCATCTGTCGTCTATTACTAGCTTCGATTCTGAGCTTCATACAACACCAGCCAGCTTTACAAAATACCAACATAAGTAATCAAAATTACTTTCTAATTTATGAAACTGTGTTGCAAACAGTTTATATTAGATACAGCCACTACCAACACCCAATTTTCCCTGCACTTCATCTGAGGAAATAATGTGTGCCTATTGAATCCAACGTGCGTGGCATGGAGACTATGAGAAGAGGAGATGAAATGTTGTGAGCGATTATGGAGCCAGCTGAAAAAGACAGGACACAGTAAAATGGAGATGTGCTGCGGAAGCCGTATTTCCCACTCGAAACCCAAAAGACATATAATAATAACTTTATCATGATTTCGCAAAATACTTTTAAAGATTAAGGAAACAGTGAGTACTTATTTTCTGCCACTGAATAACCCACGTTCGAACTGCATAAAATTTAAATGTAGAACTATACGAAGGTGAATGTGATAAGTTATGAGGTGAACCTAATATGTGAAGGTAATCTTTACAATCTGAAAATCCAAAACAAACTATGATGAAACCGTCTGTGTTCCATAAAGCGAATAAATCCCGAAAACACAGTTGAAGAATGGATTCAGGCACACATACATGTGGTTCAAGATGAGTGTAGTATACGTCTAATTTACCATATAATGAACGACCAATCTGCATAAAATGTTATAAGACCCTACTAACAAACACAGTAGCATACTTTAACCATACGAAAGTTACTGCAGTCAACAGAGTCAAATTAAAATGAGATACCGATGCTATATGCTTTGATTGGGACGCAAGCAACGAATAACCACAATAACTTCAACTAGTATGGCAAGAAGTGAACATTTTACAGAATTGGTGGTAATTTAGTGCATATGAGCCTACGATAAAATTGCAGGGTTTGTAGTATGACGAGAACAGAATCTAGGAAACACTACTTATTATATCCGTGTAAAGTATGGGCAGGTTTTGTATGAAAGTCTCATCATTGAAATAAAACTAATTATTTGACGAAAGGATGAAGTTTACCTATTTGTACATGAAGGGACCAGTACCCATGAAAAACTCCACAATATGGTAATGATAGCAAGTATCACATCAAAAATATGAGCCCGACTGAACGAAAAATCATTTATGAATCCTAACCATATTGCAGTTTTATTGTTTCTGGAAAGCGAATATTTTGCCTTTTACATTTTTGATAGCGGAACTTGAAGTCTACTAAAATATTTTTAGCACATTTGTATAATGTTATCCTGGTGACTCCCTGAATCCCAACTCAAATCAATTATCTACATTCCTGGGTATATTTTTAGTCTAATGTAACTACAGAAAACTGATGACTTACTCGCAAAATTATCCCATCTAGTGGATCTGTAGGACGCTGGAAAATCGTCTTAACTGTCTAAAATTCAATAAATTAATAGAAAAAACAAACCTTAACAGGATGCCGGAAGCTGTCCACAGCATTAATTCGAGATGTTTCACGAACAAGCGCAGGTTTACCTATCCGAGACTCTACAACTCTGGCAAATGTTCCAATCCCATATTTAGCCCCGTAAACACCACCAGCTAACAAAGTTAACGAACCAATTACTGTGGCAACCTTGTCCGGTTCCGAAAGAAAACTGCTGATGCCACCGCCGATGACAGAACCAGCAGTAGTAATGGATTCCAAAACCGTCTGCCGATACTCACGAGCATCTACTCGGGCGCGTTCTAGCCGTATCTCGCGATTTTCGCGTTCAACTTCAGCTTCGCCCCTGATCTTTGCTTCTATTTGCTTCATTTCATTTTTATGGCGCAGATCAGATTCAAATTCAATTGTCGCTATAATGAATATGCATTAGTGTTATAATAAGCACCTCTTCGCATAGCCTCCTGTTTCTGTACAGATTCCTCTTGTTTCCTAAGACTTTCAGCCTGAGCTTTAGCCTACAACTTTAGTAGGACTTAACATGTAACCAACCTGCAAGGCTACTTGGTCTTCCTGACGCTTCCGCGCAAGCATATCTTGATAATCAGCTCTCTGTTTTTGTATTCTTGCCTCTTCTTCCAGAGTTTTTCTTCGTTCTTCTTGTTGTGCCCTATACTGTTGTATCTTTATCTGCTCGAGACCAAGTTCATACTCCTAGGTTCACGGATAAATACAATCAACTTTCTTGTTAAGGGGCTAACTACCTTCATTTTTGACTGGTACTCCATCTGTAATGTTTCTTCATGCTTTTGAGACAAATCAAAAGCCTCCTTAGCATGTTCTGAAACAATATAATTCATGCTAATAATACATACTTGATTTTTCGAGCTCTTTGGCTGCCTTAGCAGCTCTTTCTAGTGCGGCCGAATCAAATCGATAAGCTGAAACTGTATCGCCACCAAGATTTTTGTCCTTCGAACTGGGAGGTGGAACAGGAGGAGGAGGGGCATCAATAGGAATATCGAAATCTTTTGAATTTTGTTTCCCAAAACCGAATAACCAAGACATTTGCTATTACCACGTTGTAACGCACACTACCAAATTAAGCAGATCAAGGTCAAACGGCATTGTTTAATTATCTCATAGAACTCGTACAAATGGTAGAAACTGGTAGATATTTCTTTAATTTATTTTTTCCTAGTAGAAGGAATGGACCAACAACAGATTTTAGGATGGAATGATGTATATATGTCAATTAAGTGTGTAAGAAGGGGAATTCCACAAGGGACAGTTTTTAAAAGAGAACTCTTACAAATCCTGGTAAAATTATTCAACCTTTTATGACTGAACTGATCCTGATTAGATAAGACTTCTTACCGCTGACCTTTTGGTAGCAAGATAAAAGTAAAAGTGACAGATTAATCCGGGCAATCAGGAGTGTCGAAATACTCTGCCATGAAATTCCATGTAATCATTATTCATCCAGCTGACAGGTCACTAACTTGTTTCAGTTAACATTACATCCGCGTAATATCAGTTTTGCCACTTTTGTAGCAGCCCCAAAATTATCAACCTACAGCTGTCATCATTTAACAATAGATGCTGATCTTCACGGTTAAATTCGACTGTTTCAGCTGATTGTACTCCGTATAGAATCCATGGCATTCTGCACGCCGTCGTCTTACTTTCAGTTGTCCTCACACACTCTCTAGTTAGCTAAATGAACATTAACTCCCTGTGTTTTTGATCCTGACGCCTTCGTGCAACTCCTGATACACCTTCTTCGAGGTAAAAATAAGCGTATAAATTTCGATACCACCGCTAAAGGATCTCCCGCTAGTGTCAACAAAGTCCTTGAGCACGTTACCCTGATAACCTACCAGGACCTAACGGCAACTTTAGGCGTCTAAGCTGGCATGTTAGATTTATAATCACAGCACTTCTTCGACAACCGGTAGCCATTTACCTTATTCTTGTGGCAACTTCAGACCACTGAAACAAAACACTGTCTTCAGCGGGAAACGCCTAGATGTGTACTGGGCTAAATGTCATTTCCAACATTAGGTGGGGGCGAGGAAATCATGATTTTCACGTATCGCAAACTAATTACATGCTATCTGAAATCAACCTGAGACAGATATTCTTCGAGATTGTCACGCCAGCAGACTGAATTTCATACTTCAGATATCAGTTACAAATCTGGGTCTGATAACATCGCCGTAGTTGTCTTGTCACGTATACACTGCGTCATCCGAAATAGTAGCACAAACAGCTTCGTTCTCGAGAAGTTAGTCGCTGACAATTCTGGGATTAGAAGAGAAAGCGTAGAGTACAGATGAGTTGGGTATTCCTTTGTCCGGCTGTGCTGATATCTGACTATATGCCCACAGTACGTCACACAGCGTATATCATCCAATCGTCCTGTCCGCCACCAGGTTCATCATAAATTGGTCCTACCGGCCTGACCTGCAGGTATAGCCTTGAACACAGCTTCTCAAAAGTGCAAGGTAATAATAATAGTCTACTTTATTCCAAAACAGTAATTATAACACAAATGTAATTTCCAGGATTTGTCACAGAATTTCATCTGAAATACTCAAAATACAGATAAAATTAAAATAAAATTAACTAGAGGAATTTGTCCACATTCACAGTATAAATTCATAAATATTCGAAGTACAAAATGAGAATAATAAATATAGTAATAATAACAGTTAGTTTGTTTCAAACAGTATTGCCGATTCAGTTTGGAGATTTTAGCACGTTATAAATTGCTGGATCTAATGTTCTGTTAATTTAGCATGGTGAGGAGAAAGGTATTAAGGCACATAATTTTATATTGCGCATTCGTCGACATTCTATATTTCTTAAGCTTCCCCATGGTCAGGGAAACGTCCATTACCTGTCGAAGATTACCTGAAGCCCAATGGAGCCGGTCGGCAGTAACACAAGGTAATTCTTCTTTTGGTTCCGTAAGGAATAAGTATATATGATATAAACAGAATTTAAAGTCTCATTGGTCTGTTAGTCTGGAATACAGGAATGCCGACGGTTGACCCATCCAATTAGTCTAAGCATATCCTGGAAAAGTATGAAGCAACGGCATTGCTACTCCATACTTGTCTGTACGAATACAGAAGTACTTACATATGATGTCAAACGGCTCAACTTCTATAGTCTTGGGGCCCACTGTGGAACATTTTCATATGTCATCATGAGATGATTTAAATGGCAGATAGAAGAAATCACAAGCAACTGAATATAGTCTGAATGTTAGTCTTTCCTTATGTATCTGCGTTATGAGACCGGATCAATTGAAGACTATGGTGACGTTGTTTGGTGAAAAGGAAGTTATAAGTGTACACCTGGTGCGAATTTTTCGCCTGTCTGAATCTATTTCGCAGGTGTTTAATAAGGTATTGTCTAGTATCCTGGATTTACAACCGTGAAATACCTTTACAGTAAATCTTTGTGCCACCCACTTAGCAACGGCATTGTGGGAATGCACTCAATGCCTAATTGTCTGCATAAAAGACTCAAATGGGAACTCCGAAAACGATCCTTAGGTCCCATTTCATAGAAATCTGCAACCAAGTGTTGCAGACAGTGAATACTGTAAACTGGGTGTTTCCTGCCATAAATAACTTCAAACTCATTGAGGAAGTTTACCAGCTCATATCTCCAACCTTCTAGGTGATGCCGATAGAAGCTCATACGCGACATTAGGTTTTGTGACCACAACACTGAAGCGGAAAAACTTCTATTTGTTCTCACTGAACACAGAGAGTTTTGTGATGCAGTTCCTGTGTTATTAACTTTCGTATGCAGAAGAGAGGAGTAAGGTATTCATAATCTTTTGGTTCATGTGAAATCGCAGTGCGACTCGACGCTCGATAGTATCTGTAAGAATAAACTGAAAAATAAAGGTTTTCTTACCTTCTGAACAACTTGTCCTGATTCCAAGATAATAACTTCCTTTCACGTATGAGTCTAAGTTATGTCCATTAAACCGGAATATCACAGCAATCAAAGTTTCCCTCAAAATTAAGGCTACTTGAAACCCGTAGCAACGGACATCGACGCGACAATTAGCGGATATATGCAATAAAGCCACTCTGACAGGTGTGAATAGTTCCCAAGGTGGTTGCTGTATAACTACGTCTAGACAGAGAGTTGGTAGTGTGCTAAAACTGTAGCGTGGCTGTGACCAGAGGTAGTCCTTCACCTAGTAATTGTTGATTTGTGTCAAAAGAAACAGCATGATAACAATGTATAAATAAATCAGCATACGAAAGCAGAAAAGAAAGGCTGTAACAGTAAAACAGTTAATTAGATGGAGCTAAGTAGGACAATTAACCATTATTATCATGATTCATTTCCTGAGTTCCGAACTGGTTTCACTGGCACATGTCCACTGCACTAGTCCTTTGCCATCATTTGCAACTGGCACTACCTTGCCTAGTTCGTCAAATAGTTTTGAGGGAGGGAATTTCTGGATGCTGTCGACAGCCGAAAAATGTTAGGAGCAGCTCAGCTCTTTGAAAACCTCAAATCAAGGAAAAAACAAACATTTTGCTCCGCAATCAGAAAGATTCTTCTTTTCAAGGACAAGTGAAGCCGACAAGCGAGAAACCTCAGAAAGCCAATCAGCTGATATTTTCTTAAAGGAGTAAACGGCAGCGTTTAGAATCATAAATTGAAGTTGATATAAGTTTAGGAGAAGTTTTGGGAATAGATCTGTCCATAATTTGCGCTTGTGACTATGGTCAAGAACCGATTAAGGAGGACTGGAAACAAAACGTTAGTAAGTTACCCACTCCTGCCCTGAGGTGCGCAACAAAAGTATCTTGCGACTTTTTGGGATAGGAATTGCTTCCCTTAGCTCCTATAGAGTCGTAGACTGCCTTTAGGTCTTCTTGCAGCTTGTGTGAGTCTTATACCCTGCTTACAGAACTCCGATTTGTGTATTCTATCAAAGATGAAGGGAGGTGGGAAATTCAGCGTAATTCATTGTGATATTTAACCAGAAGTCACTACTGCTCTAGATAGGTTGATTCCACAAAAAGCATAAATGGAAAAATTACAGTGTGATTCAGAGAATCACTTATAGCCACTTGAAAGAGATTAGCTAGGAAGCACACGAGACAGTGTGTTTTACATTTCTTGTCCAGCAAAACGACTAAATTCTTGTCACTGCGCTTGTAGACAGCAAAATATCAACACACATCTTTCTGTTTTAAAATAAATCTTTCTCAGGGTATTAGGAATCTGGAAAATCGTTGTTTATGTAACGCAGCATATGAAAGATAAATGGTGGCATTTTTAAACGATTGATCCATGCTGCCTTGGCTTTCATTGCTTTTAATCATCTCTCTAGACGGTTTTGGAGGATTTTCAGGTATACCGGTTATCTGTATAATATAAGAGGTTCCACTGAAATGTTCAAGTTAGTAGTGAGGTGCCTTCAGAATAATTTTGCCTTGAACGACGCTAAACTTTGAGCATCCTAAACCAAGGAACCCACCGATCACATATAAAGGTTTTTAGGTCAGAACGTGGTGTATACATGAAAATAATGGATAATGAAGTCAGAAATACGGGACCCTTTCCAACACGTGTGACAGAATATCCCCATCTCCACAAGAGGGTTTCACTGGATAAATCAAACCATGTTTCACTCACAGGAGAACTTTGACTCACCCATTTCTAAACAGGTTATCAGTTCACATATCGTAATCCTTTTCATGGGCTGGTGCAGTAGTGCAATCTAGGCAACGAAAAGTTACTGGATCCCTAATCACCTCGCCTGCTCTTTTATATCAGACTTCATCACCTCCTCTTAGCTGAGCAGTCAATCTCGAGTGGTTTTGCTGCATCTCCCCGCTAACCGTAGCGTCGTAGTCCGTTGCTGTGGTGACTTAGTGACAACTTGTACTTTTCGTATACTTTTTAAATGAAATTCTGCGCTGAAAAATTTTGTTTTTGGCTTACATATGATCAATAACCATACGCCAAATAATCACCCGTTAATCTCACCATCTTCCACGAGACAACTTTCCTGCAGAAAT